CTCTATAAGGATTCTTAGGCTTTACTAGTAGTAATATTATCTTTTATAGTGTGTCTATAGTATACCTATTTAAAAGTAGATTTAGCCTAATACTAGTTATACTAGAGTCCCTATTATTAAGTATAAGTTAGCAGGCTAGCAGGTAGTTAGGCTAGTTAGTCTGCTTAAAGCATACTATTATGCGCAGTACTACCTACACCTCTTAGTTTGCCTGCTCTATCCTACTATCTGTCTAGGGGTAGTATATAGTGGATAGTAACTAGTTTATCTTTATTATCTAGTATAACGTTATCTAGAAAGATCCTAACTAGTTAGAGCCTTAGTTAGTAATAATAGAGGATAGGAAGCCCTAGAACTACTACTAGTTATCCTAGAAGATCCTTGTACAATAATTAGCTACTATAGAGACTATTGCTTTAAGCTAAATATATTTAGATAATCTATTAGTAATAACTAATAGGAACTAAGGTTTGCTATTATCTTTTATAGGTAGGTTAACTATAAAATCTATAGATATTTAGGACTAGTATTATAATATAACTAGTATAGGTTATAATAGACCCTATTAGCGCTTCTAGGAGATATAAGCACTATAATAATAGTAGTTCTAAATATACTATATAACATCTCCTAATATTCTATCCTAATAATAGTTATAGTATAGTATTTAAAATATTGTGTTCTTCCCTAGATATCCTACTAAACCTAATTTATATGCTTGCTATATAATAGTAGTTATAAGGGGTTCCTATATTAGTAACTAAATAACGCCCCTCTAAAGCAAAGTGCTGTGTGCGCTAATTATATAGTCCCTAATCTATTACTTTATATTAGCTAAAACTAGGAAGGACCTAGCGCCTTTCTAAACTATATTAAGACGCACTTAGTATATCTTATCTTCTAATACTGCTTTGTCCTATAGTGTCTATATATATAGGTTAGCAAAGAGGCTAGCGCCCTTTAGTAACTTAGACGCCTCCTCTACTTCTAATACTATAACCTAAATTAATTTAGGGCGTATTACTAACTATAGTGTTGCTTTAGAGGAGTTTAAATCTTATAGTTATCTACTTAAGGTATTAGGTTATCCTATAAGATAGCTAGGTCTATACTATAGGATATACTAGTATTTTAAAAGTTCCTCTACCTAGTAGCACTATTGCTCGCTTAAGCTTTAAAGGCTAGTAAAGTACTCTAGGTTTTTATAGTCTGTGAATATTATAAATAGCTTGTAAATACTCTATAGCTCTGCTAACTAACTTTTAATATACTTAATAATAGCTAGTAATTCCTTATTATATATAGTATAGTTTTATCTCTCTAGTGTTAGTGCTATAGAGTAGTAAGTAACTAGGCGCTAGACACCCCTAACTTTTTATAATAAGTAACCCCTAAGAGCGTATCCTAAATAGTCTGCTTCTAATAACGTTTCTTTAGCTAGGTCCTATTATATTAGTACTAGTCTAGATATAAATACCTTTTTTAGTGTATTAAATGCACTCTATTCTTCCTCTCCCTATTAGAATAGGGTGTCCTTTCTAGTTAGTTAGTTTAAAGGTGCTACTACTTTAGAAAACTTTGTAATAAAATCGCGGTAGAAGTTAGTAAAATCTAGAAAACTCCTTACCTCTCTTATATTCCTAGGGGATTCCTATTCCTATACTACCCTAAGCTTTTTAGGGTTAGGTCTAAGTAATTTGCCTACCTTAATAATATAGCCTAGGTAGCGTACCTCCTTAACACTAAACGCACACTTCTCTAAGTCTAGGTGTAGTCCTACTTCTTTTAATAGCTTAAGTACACGCTTTACTTTTTCTATATAGTTAAACTAGTCTCCTCCTAAATAAATTAGGATATTATTAAGGTAGGCTATTATATATAATCTAAGTAACTCTATAAGCGTAGTATTAATATATTATTAGAAAGTAGATAGCAGACTACTAAGACTAAATAGATATACTAACTATTTATATAACCTAAACTAGGTATAGAAAGCTATTAAGGACTTATAACCTTCTACTATTTTAACTTTATAAAAGGTAGCATAAATATCTACTTTTATAAACTAATTTACGCTAGATAGTATACGTAAAGTTTCCTTAATAAGTAGTAGTAAGTATTAGTCTAATATTATTATACTATTAAGCATCTAGTAATCTATATAAAGGCGCTAACTGCCTAATAGCTTCTTTACTAGTAATACTAGAGCTCTAGCTATAGAAGAGCTTGCTTAGATCTAGCCCTTGTCTATTAATCTAGTAAGTTATATTCTTAGTTCTAGTAATTAATTATAAGATATAGGGTACAGGGGACCCTATAGGGGGTTAGGCTAGGTTCTATCTAGGAGAGTTATTAACTAAATATAGTAATCTATACTACCTTAATAAGGTAGCAAACTACTTGCTAACTCTTTGTTAAACAGGTCCTTAAACTCTTATAGTTCTAGTAGTAACTTTGTCTTTCTAGTTTTATACTTAAGTTTATAGGGAACTATGCTATTAGTAATATAGATAGTGTGTATATTAATAGGACTTCCCTTATTAACACTTCCTAGATATTTTATTAGGCGTAAGTTATATATTACCTATAAAATATCTAGTATATTTATTATAAAAATTTATACCTATATATCTTCCTATTAGGGTCCTTAATTTAGTAACCCTGCTATAACTAAACCTAAGATAATAGAGATATAGGTAGGATATAGGCGTCTCCTACTCTCTTATACTACTATATTTCCTACCTTCCTAATTATTAATTTGCCTTATAGAATATCTATAATAACGCCCTCTCTATATAGCTATAGTCTACCTAGTATTAGTTAATAGGAGAGACTAGGTACTATATAGGCTAAAAGCTAAGACTACTAACTATCTAAATTATAGTCTAATACTACTAACTATAAAATTCTTATACCCTTAGTAATTCCCTAGGCATATTATAAGGGTTACAGGGGAATATCTATAAAGTTCCTACTAATCTATCTTACTAACTTTTCCTTAACTACACTAAAACACTAGCACCCTAAATTAACTATTACTTGCATATTCTCTACTCTACCTAGGAGGAGGGGAATAAAGAAAGGAGGATTATTTAACCTAGCCTTAATATCTAAGGGATACTTAATAGCCTCTACTATTAATAATTCCTCTATTATAGTATCCTCCTTATACCCCTAACTTAGCCTAAAGTTAGGGGTAGCTAGTTTCCTAAATTAGGGCCGCTTGCTAATACTATAACTATCTTAACACCTACTAGTTATAGTAATAGGGTATTAGGGTATGTATGCATAAAATAACTACCCTATCTATACTAGGTGTAGACCCTTGCTAGTTTCTATATATTAAATAGGTCCTATAGGATCTAGTTAGGGCGTAATATTAGTAGTTTAGTAGGTGCACTTAATAAGGCTACTACTTCTACTATATTTATATTACTATCCTAATCTAAGTTAGACTTCTACTAAGGTTCCTTAGACTTACTAGCCTAAAGAAAGCCTAGTTCTAGAGAGGCTATTTTAATATCTACTATAATTATCTTATATTCCTCTATAGCTATGTTATAGTTTGTTCTAGAGACTCCCCTATTAAGGGAAACTAAGCGTATATAACTATTAAGAGATTACTAAAGTTATAAAAGCTTCTATTTATTATTCTAGTATAAACCTCCTAACTATATAAGGAGCTATATAAAATTTATAAAGAACTCTATAAAAGGCTAATTTTAGCCCTAATATAAGTATTCTAATATAGCTTAGGTGTGCTCCTACCTATAATAGTTACTATAATAGAACGCTAGGTAGTTAAGAAACCTACTTATATCCTAACGCTTATATATACTATCCTTAAAGTATAGTACTATAGTATACTAGACTATAGGCAATAACTAGGACTAAATATATATAAACCTTACCTCCTTATTCCTAATAAAGACCTTATCTACACGTAGTTTAAACTCTATAGTTATTTACTAGGAGGAGAAGTTTGCCTTAGTGCTATTATATAGCAAGCTAACTAGGAAGGGTTTATAATATAAGGTAGGAGAGGGTAGAGGTAGTATATTATTAAACCTAGTAGGCTTAGAGGAGGGTTAGGATAGAATCTAATTACGTATTTCCTTATTCTATTAATATAGTATAGCTATTATAGTAGAGTCTTAAGCCTATTATTCTATTAATCTATAGACCTATTATATTAGCCTTTCTACTATATTAGGTTACACCTAGTTATTCTAAATATCTAGCGCGTCTATCTCTTATTACTATTATAGTATATTTAGAAGAAGATACTAAAATATTATAAACTACCCTTAAGGGAGAATATAATAAGCGTTAATATTAGTATTTAGTATCTTAAAGGAGAGGTAAGCCCTCTACGCCTTTTTATAGGTGTGTAGCGTGTTTACTTAGTAGTAGTGTTAGACTCTATCTATCCTGTGTTAGGCCTAGGCTTAGGCTTACGCCTAAGCCCTTCACACCTAGAACCTACCTAGTTAAGTTAGTTAGAGTAACCTCCCTAAAGAGGGGGGATAATATTAGGATATAGCTCTACTAGCCCTAGAGGCCTTAATATACGCTTAAGTAGCCTAAGATAGATAGATTATATAATTATAGGTAGTATAAATACCTACAAGAATTAATATATATAGTATTAATTTATTTAGTACTTAATTAATATCTATTATCCTACTCTACTACTAAACCTCTATCCTATACTATAACGCCTTAAAATAGTTATAATGCAATAATTAATCTCCTTAATTAATCCTAAGCTTGTAATTACTAAAATTTAACACCTCTTTTACTAGACTATAACTTCTTATATAATTTGTTTAACACTAAATAGACAAATAGTATCCTAACCTATCTAACAAAATTCTATTATTAGACTATAACTTCTTACACCCTCTTATAATACTTTGCTATAGTCTAAGCTATTTGCACTAAACGCCATTTGCTATAAAATAGAAGAACGCCGTGTTATGCAAGCCTGGCGAAAAGTCTAGCTAAAGTGGATACCCTCTTGATTAAAAGCATACAATAGCTTAAGGAAGTCTCCTTCATCACATAGTCGCGCTCGCTTTTCTGCGAGTTGTGTCTCATCTTCTAATATTTTCCTCACTTTTTCTCGTACTAGTTCACTTACCCTTCCCTTTTTCTTTCTATTAATCCCGTTCTTCTTCTTCTCAGACTGCATCTGCTTGAAGAAGTCGGGAAGTTCATCGTCAGGATCATCGGGGTCCGAGAACCCTTTGAAATCATCATCTTCGTCTACTTCCATGCCCTCAGCCTCTAAGGTACCTTCGTTGGGATTTATTGGTGAATCATCGAGAAGAATGTCGTTCTGTGCGCAGAAAAGACGGTAATTGCTTGCGAGAAGCTCCACCACGGCAGCTGTGCCAAGGAACGAAGCACGCAAGGTCCTGTTCTTTCGCACAAAGGCTATTCTGAGAAGACCGTCCCATTCATCATAGGCGATCTGTGGCCTGGGATGCTTTGGCTCGATACGAACGACATTGCTCTCGACCTGGGGCGGCGGGTTGAAGTTGTTTCTGCCAACTTTCATAATGTGGCTGACCTTGGCCCACATCTGCACGTTGACTGACAGTCTTGAGTAGAGCTTCTCGCCCGGCTTAGCGAAGAGGCGCATGGCAAATTCCCGCTGAAACATGAGGATGCAACTCCTGGGCGGGCTGGGCAAGCTCAGCAGCTTAAACACCAGGGGACTCGAAATTTGGTATGGTGTGTTGCTAATGCATACATCGAAGTGTGGAAGTTCCGTCTTGATCACATCTCCCAGCATGACCTTCAAACGCTTCGCCTCGGCCGTTCCTTGCACTCGTTTGGTCAACTCGGCAGCCATACGAGGATCCATCTCGACGGCGGTGACAGCCTTGGCGGCCTTCAGTATGAGGACCGTCAAGTTGCCCGTGCCGGGTCCGACTTCGAGGACATGGTCCGACTGTTTCAAATATGCCTTTTGCACTATGGCACTCGCGACACCGGGGTTCTTGAGAATATGCTGGCCGAGGTCCTTGTCCATTTTGAAGATTGAGTGCGCGGCCGACGCTTTGGCTGAGGGCTTCGCATAAGGGGACGCGTCGCCGGCGGCGCTTGCGCGCTTGCGCTTGTCCTTTGGCATTGCAGTTCAATGGTCGCGCGTGGAAAAGGAAAGCCCTTTTTAGGTCGAGGAGTGAGGGGAGTTTGAGAAGCACTAGGACAGACACTGCTCCTGTGCTCTGTAAATTTTGACGTTGCGCCACCTTATCGATAAGTCGACACTATCGATAGCATGCCACCGTCTGGGGCCAGTCCCCGTGCAGTCCATTCACGCGTAGCGCGTCGGGCGGCGCGTCACTCTCTCTCTTACCCATTGTCTACCTATCAGACTTCCATCAAGTGTGCCCTTCCCAGTCAATGACATCTACGTTCACCAACTGTTTTCCAAAAGCACTCCCAATGCTCACGATGCTATACCGCTAATCTAACCGCGTACTTCGACTTTGACCTACCACGCCCTGCTCCATGCACGCCTACTGTGCACTGCCATTTACTTCGCTCGCAGCTCAGGCTTTACCTCGCCGCTCCTTTGCCCCTTTGAAGAGCTTTAGGCGCTTTTCCACTTGTAATTTCTTTCACCGCAAGCCTCTCGTTTCGCATATTCACCCAAAGTGTATCTTAGCGGCAGCCTGTACAAGCGGTCCACTCACTCACTTTCTGCGTCGCACCACCTGCACCTCTACTTGCTTGCGCCTCACATCACATACCATCAGGACCACATCACAAGCTATGGCCAGGAAGCGCATAAACACGTTGTCAGACTCATCACTGACACCATTACCAGACAATGTCCCTTCTGCAACAGACATAGTCGGCGCTGTAGAGCCTGTGCCGACTGGCAAGAAACGTAAAGCCACAGCCATTGTGAAGACTCCCGCCAAACGCGCGAAGAAAGTTGTTGAAGCAGAAGTAAAAGCTGCGACCTTTGTGCCAGCCATCGAGGACGATGGACACGTTGATGTTAAGGCGGCAGCAAAAAAAACGATTACGCGCAAGAAGAAGCATGTCATCGATGAGGACAGTGATGCGAATGTGGAAGTCAAGACCAAGGTAAAGACGCCACCAGTTCATAGGAAGAGCGCGAATATGACCTATGAGCAAATCGCTAATCTGTAAAAGGTTGCCAAACGTAAGCTCCAAGTAATGAAGAAGTTGGAGCCACTGGCAGAGCGCACTCAAGATACTCGGCTACGCGTCGGTGCGCATATCAGCGCAGCAGGTGGTGAGTCTTGTCTATGCATTCTGCTCTCGTGCTGAAACTGTGACTGACGCGGACCGAACAACCGTCGCTTAGGGGTACACAACTCTCTTATGAATGTGTTACATATTGGGTAAGTCATCCCGCAACTTGACAGGATGCATGATTTGTAACTGACCGTTACAGTGGTAACGCTTTCGCGCTCTTTTTGAAACAACATCGCAAGTGGGATAATTCGGAGCTCGATCCTAAAGTAGCACAACTCTTCATAGATGGGTGCAAAGAGCACAGTATTGACCCTGCAGAGAGCTGTCTACCACATGGTTCTTACCTCGTCAACCTCGCGCACCCAGATCCGACGCGCAAGAAGCAAGCCTACGACTCATTTCTCAATGATCTCAAGCGCTGCAACAAACTCGGAATCAGATTCTACAATTTTCATCCAGGCAATGCCAACGCAGGCACTCGTGAAGAGGGGATACGGATGATCGCACAGAACCTCAACGAAGCCCATCGAGACCCTGAAACAGGCACTGTCATCACTTTACTTGAAACCATGGCAACCTTGGGCAATACCATTGGCGGCACATTTGCAGATCTCGCCAGCATTATCCAACTGGTTGAGGACAAGAGTCGTGTTGGAGTATGCCTGGATACCTGTCATGTCTTCGCCGCAGGGTACGATCTGCGCACCTCGGAGGCATATGCCGCAACCATGGAGCAATTCGATGAGGTGGTTGGCCTCGAGTATCTAAAAGCCTTCCACGTCAACGACAGCAAGGCTCCATTGTTCAGCAATCGAGATTTGCATGCTCGAATCGGTACTGGATACTTGGGTCTTCGGTCTTTTCATAATCTAGTCAATGACACTCGGTTCCATGGTCTACCAATGGTTCTCGAGACCCCAAACGAAGTGATAAACGAAAAAGGCGAAAAGGTCGATGATAAAGGTGTCTGGGCTCGTGAGATCAAGTTGCTTGAGAGACTTGTCGGAATGGATGCTGAGAGCGATGAGTTCAAAAAGATGGAAGCCAGGCTGCAAGAAGAGGGCGACGCTGAACGTAAGCGAGTTGGCGAGCAAGTGGACAGGAAGAACGCCAAAGCTGCTGTGCCAAAGAGGGGTAAAGGAAAGGGCAAGAAGAGGGTTGATAGTGAGGGAGAAGACGATTGAGGTGGAAAAGCACATTAGAGTCCGTCACCTGAAATGTCATAGTTTGAGGAGGTTACTGAGTCTTTTGGATCGTCTTAGGCTGGGGACGTAATGACGCTTGCTCTAACGACCGGGTTATTGCACAATTGCGTTTATCCGTGTATTGCATGTGTAGCAGACCTAAGCAGCTCGACCATTCATGGGTGGATATGGCCTATCCATAACAGCAGGGGCTTTCATCATTCATGGGCAAGATCCCGTTTGACTACTATCGTAGATCACTTTCGTTTGGCTTGTTCAGATGCTGTTGACATGTCATCGTCTGCGATAGATCCAGGTGGAGTAAGACTCGATCGAAGGCGCATTACATTAAAGAACAGACTTTTGCAGTCTCGTGGACTTTGTAAGGTGCCACGAATGCCGCCTTACTGGCTCTAACTGCACCATTGGGAAATCACCCGCTGTAGAATTTCAACTCGGGCATTGTGGAATGGCGACTGGGTGGGTTGGCAACACAAATTGTTTGAGTCAGAAGATTGTAGCGGTCGCACAAAGTGGTGGTCGCACATAATACGTTCTCAGACTTAGAACTCTGAAACCATTCAAAGGCATTGGAGTATTGGTGTCGCTCTATCCCAACCGCCCCTTGTTTGTCCAGGTGAAAGCAAAAAGTAGAATATCAGATGAATCGTATATATTGTCTGTACCCAGAGCCGGGTGAGAAGAGTGAAATCCATAAATTTGAAGCTTCGACCGTACAAGGTGGTAAAGCGGCCGTCTGGTATATGTAGGAACACGCGTCGGGGTCAACTATTACTGGATGGGGCCGAACCGACTACAGGTAAGCTAGTTCAGCTATAGACGATACCAAGGAGATAAAATTCAACAATCTGTCATGGTTCGTAAACATGTCATGACCTCTTAAACGCCGTCCCATGCGCCGACTTCCAAAGTCCTCTGAGAGACTGCTTGACTATGCGCCAGTCACTGGTGTGGCAAGGGGCGGTCGAGTTCTGTCCGGGCGAAGGACGATTTGATTCGTATGTCGTGACCGAGCTCGCCGTAGTTGTACGCGTGTCGCCGCCGCGGCTCGATGACGAGCATGCCGAAATTACGCTATCGGTTTTGAGGCCCACAGGAGTCTTGTCATTGGTTCGCTCGCGCGATGTCACCATTTCCTGAGGCCTCGCGCAACCCTAATCAATGCCATGCTGTCTCTTGAGCTTTTCCAAGTTTTCCTGGCGTTCTGCGAGGTCATTCGCTGCTTTGAGCATCTTATCTGGCTGGTGATATAGTACTAGGTAAGGTCAGTGCGATTGAAAATCCCGTGGAAGGCAAAGGGCCATACCGACGAGATATCGATTTTGAAAGTTGAAGCCGTTGAGCTTGTCGCAAGCCGACTTTGCGTCCATTACGTCTTCATAGACAACAAAGGCTGTGCCCTTGGTATTGTTGGCGATGCCCTGGCGGATTTGGCTGCATCAATGTCAGTTAGGCAGGCCAGAGTAGGTATGCAACAGCATGTGAAGGCATGGGCCGAGGGGTCAACTTACCGTACCGGGCCGAACTTGCCAAAGAGATCAAAGAGTTCCTCTGGCGTGACGTTGAAACTGCGGCCATGGTCAGTACAGGTCATGGTCCCTATCGCGCATCAACTCACCTCAAGTTCTTTACGAAGAGAGCTCTTCAAGGACAAGACAGGTTAGCGGACGGAAATCAAAGCTGAAACGAGCATGCGGCGCACGAGAGCAGCCTCGTGGCCAGGCGCGCCATGGCAAAGTGGGAGCTTACCGATTGACCTCGGGAGCAAGCTTGCCACCTCTACTCATACTTTGGCGACGGCGGTGTATGTGTGGTTGAAGATGAGGCTTCGAGATGGGCGATCGGAAGAACGGGTGGGTGGGCGTGGTTGGGGTTGGTGATGAGGCAACATGGGGTATCGCACATGGGCGTAACGAACTCGACTGGGGAATGGTCTTGGCACGCCATGTCGTCACGTGTGGCCGTTAGCCGTTGTTCTGCCGGGTTGGTTTTGGAGGTCAGGTACGTACAAGCAAGCGTAGCTACACTGATAGAGTGGCATATTACTTATTACTCGATGAAAAAGTACACAACCATTAGGGCTGGCCACTACATGATGTTCTTAGACGTGGGAGCATGACAGCAGGCGACCTGAAGTGAGATATGTGCCTGTTAGAGTTGTGGAGTGGTTCACAACGGCCACTACCTATCTACCATGGATGCGGATGACTGGGTACAGAGAAACACTGGCAAAAGAAAGACATTGGCTTAGAAACATGTTATATGCTGGTGAAGAAGGTGTCGACTGGGTACAAAGTAAGTGGAAGCCATCCTGGATGAAATGAGGGCCGCATTGTTCTATGTATTCTATGTACCGGTAAGGTACATGGCAGCGCATGGAATGGCTTTGAGTACGGTAGGTACCTACCGTCGGGTAGCGATAGATACCTATATGATGTATATGATGGATGGTACCTACAAGTTCGCCAATGATAGGTAGAACAGCCCGAAGAAAACAAGAGATTCAGTTTGTGAATTGTAGTCCAACCCACGCCACTATCGTGCCTCTGCTTGCGCAAACCAGCCCATTGCGCATGGCTTGCTGTCCTGTGCGCGCGCTGCCCTCGCCCGGAGCAACGTCCAATCCCTAGTGTCGCGCGAAGTGCTAGTAGGTACCCTACTACCCATCTACTTACTGTACTACCACCACCCTCTCTTCTGGCCGGCCGCTCATACCAACTTCCCCCCACCCACCCCCGACTTTGCTCCCAACCCTCCGCAACACACGGCCGCCCACGCAGCACACGACATAGATTGCGCTTCTATTGCAGCTGGCCCGCCGCGCGACTGTCGCTTCAGCTCAGGACATGCCCGCGCCCGCCGGCTCCACATACTCGCACAGCGCTGCGGCTCCATAGCTACAGCCCTTGCCAGCAGTCACCACCTGCCCTCGAAACCACCCCCGAGGCCACCACAACACCCTCCCGCGCCATGAGGCGCATCTCTTCCTTCAAGGCGCAGTACAGGCAGACGGCGACGCGCGCCCCTACGCCGCCGCCGCCCGTCTATGAGCCGCTGTCGCCGGTCCTGGCTGCCACGAAGCCTCCGAGGCCTCACCCCGCAGGCCACGTCCAGACGGCCACCATGTACAGCATCAACTACACCAATGGTGCCGCCTCTATCACGCCTACCGTCACAGAGAAGGCCGGGGTGCGCATGCCCCTCAGCTCGTCGGTGATGCCGCTGGACGCATCATTGGGGTCCGCCGCGGCGCCGCCGCAACCACCTCCGCACCATACATTGGCCCAGACAGAACCCATTGAGGCGTTGGCAGACGCTGCCATTACTTCATCACAGCAGCAGCAGCCTCCTTGTGTGGAGCCTCGAAGACATGCAGTACCCGCTCCACACGCCGCCTCGTCGCCCACGCCCACGCACACACACACGGCGGCCGCCCACGCATCCAGCTCAAGCATGCCACCACACTCGTTTGCTCCCGATACCAACTATGCGCTGCATGAGCGGCCTGCCAAACGAGCGCGCTCCGAATTGTATGCCTCGCCGCATCACGGGCAGCCGCAGTCGAGACCGGCGACTAGTCACATTCCAGGCTCGGCCTACCACGTCAACCACATGGTGGACGGCGGCATGCGCATCCACCAAGATAACAGTCCATCCGCCCCACAGCAGAGCCGGGGCGGCGAGGACAGGATCTCCGACGCCCAACTGCTCCTCGACTTCTTCACCGTCTCCGCCCACACCGCGAAAACACCACCCTCGACAGCAAAGCGGTGGAGCCTCCCCAACGCCCCAGAACTTGCACACCCGGCGCAACCAATGTTTGAGCCCATCAGCCCCAATGCGGCGGCGCCCTCGTCATCTGAACTTTGCTTTCCGTCCCCACACGCTCCCCAGCCAGCACAACAGGCTCCCGCGGCGCCTCACCCTACGCTCACCGAACCCGAGTCCGCCCAGGCTGCACAAACACACACTCCGCCTGAAGACCCGCCCCTGAGCCTACTGCAACCTGGCCTGGCCGAGGGCGCCGCGCCATTAGACGAGCCCAAGAAAAAACATCAGGGTTGGCCAAAGGGCAAGCCGCGGGGGCCTCGCAGTACGCCTTCGACTAGCAAGCGGAAGCGGGCCACGCCAAAGCCAAAGGGCGCGTCTTCTGGGAGCGCCTCGGGCCCCCCCAGCCAGCTCGAGTCACCGCAGAGCCTTGCAGCAGACCAGCTAGTAGCTACCTCTACCAATGCTGCTCCGCTCTTGTCGTTGGAGGACGGTCCGACCCCAGTTGCTAGCTCACAAGCTCGTCGTCACTCCTTCTCTGGTCCACGCCTGGCATTGCCTGATTGTCGCGCCTCCTCTGCTTACTTGCGCGCACAGTCACTTCCACTGGGGGCCAAGGAGGCCACTCCAACACCGGTGCACACCTTGCGCCATCGCGCGAAAAAGGCTACTGTGGAGCAACCGGACCTGATTTGCGCTGCATGCAAATCCTCGGAATCCGAAATCAAAGTAGGCGACGGCGAGCAATGGATCGGCTGTGATGGCTGTAAGGAATGGTATCACTATGCATGTGCAGGCTTCAGCAGCGAGCGAGAGGTACGGGACGTAAACAAATTCTACTGCGAGCAGTGTAGACCCAAGTTTGGTGCAACGACAAGTAGGTCTACCGACGCTATTTCCGGTTGCAGTTCTAATATGGTCCAGAGGTTCGTAAATCCATCAGAGCCCACACAGCCGTTGATTACGCCGGCTTGAATGAAGGCGTCCTAAAAACCTCAGACGACAACCCCGAGCACCACTACATCTCGGCATTCAAGAATGGCGACATCGAGTTCGTCCCAGAGACCTTCGCACGTATCCCAGCAGAACTGATTACGGCCGACTTCCTCGAGAAATCCAATGGCTTCAAGGAGCCCATATTGACACCGGCTTCTCTCAACTCACCATCGAGAGATGCAGGAGATGAGGTGATCTCCTCAGAACCGAACGGGAATACACAAATCTTTGAGTATACATTCGATTCGACCTTCGAGACCGAGACGGTGCCCGACGATGGACAAGACAGCCTAGACATGGTCATCCCAAAAGGATTGACAGTCCGCCGCGTAGCTGAGCTGTATGGCGCCAACGAGCCTGTGCCGGTGATCGACGTCAAGGCGCAAGAAGGCGAAGGCAAGAAGTGGACAATGGGCAAGTGGGCCGACTACTACGAGCAGCAAGGTGAAAAGCCGGTGCGCAACGTTATCAGCCTCGAGGTTTCACGCAGTAGGTTAGGGAAGCTCATTCGCCGCCCCAAGGCCGTTCGTGACATGGACCTCCAGGATGCAGTCTGGCGGGCAGACGATAAATTTGCTCCGCCGCCAGTTCAATTTTATTGCCTCATGTCTGTCGCAGACTGCTTCACCGACTTCCATATCGATTTTGGCGGCTCGTCCGTCTACTACCATATCGTGAAAGGCAGAAAAGTCTTCTTCTTTATTCCGCCCACTAAACAGAATCTCAAGAAGTACGAGGACTGGTGTTTGTCGCCCAATCAAGGGCATGAATGGCTTGGCAAGCAGGTCAAGGAATGTTATCGAGTGGATCTTCACCCAGGGGATACCATGTTGATACCGTCCGGCTGGATCCATGCTGTCTGGACGCCAGAAGATAGCCTCGTAATTGGAGGTAACTTTTTGACGCGGATTCACTATGGCATGCAAATCAAGGTCCTGGAAATCGAGAAGAACACAAAAGTCGCGTCGCAATTTCGATATCCGTTCTTCCAGAAGATCATGTGGCTGGCAGCCATCAAATATCTCCAGGAGGATCCCGTGCCTGAGCCGGTGCAGCAGCTACTTCAGAATAGTGAAAAGTTTGAGCGATCTGTTCCCATATACTGCGAGCCTGATCGTTTCGGACACAATTCCCATCTTGGCGCAGCCACGTACAACAGACGATACTACTCAAAACATGAACTAGAGGGCTTGACCGATCTATTGAACTACATATGGAGGACCGTTCTGATCACCGAAGGCAAACTTGATGTGCCCCAGAGGACAAAAGCCGCAGTTCAGAAATCTATTCCCAAAGGTCATGGTGAGCCACTTATGCTGGCGCGACAATTGGCAATGTGGATCGCGTGGAAGCGTGGCAACGAGACTATTCCCACCTGGGCCCTGTCAAATGCTCTTCTGCCAGAAGTTGCGGAAAGCGAAAAGAAGCTGAGCGCAGCACAGGTGAGGAAATTGGAGCGAGAGACCTTGAATGAAGCCCTAAGGGCAACAGCAGAGCGATCATCAGCTCGGATACGGGCCTCTGATGTCGTGAAAGACCCTACACCTCCAGATGTTGAGAACATTGGGACCTTTGACGATATGACGCCTTCTTCCGTGGGCCCTTTGATTGGCTTCCTTCGGCCATCCGCAAGTAACCCGCACATTACTACGCCCAAAACATCTCAACTGGGGCCAAAGCGAGTGGCTTGTGATGCATGTCGTAAACGACGTATCCGCTGCAAACACAAGGACGAACTCATTGATACATCGAAACCGGGTATGCACACCATTGACCTGTCAGGTTCGTACGGCATCTCAGTCAAGCGACGACTTAGTGACCACTCGGTTACTGAAAGCCTGGCCAACTCAGTCCATGGCCCTGTCAATGGAGGCCCGATTATGGCTGACGTGAACGGCGATCCATATGCCCTGAAGTCTGGTAGGGTCAAGGCTTGTGCCGACTGTCGGAAAAGCAAGGTGAGAGCACATGAGTGTGCATGCGACCAGAGATCCAACTAATGCTATCAGCGACGTTGTATCCATGATGAATACGGCAATGTCGACCCTATAAAGGCAAACGAAGTCCCGATACCGAGGGGATCAGCATCCAAGAAGCGTCGAGTGAGTGACGAGGATCGATCATCTACGGCGAAGCGAATGAAACACGAGTCCTCATATGATGAAGAGTACATGAATGGCAACTTGCACACACGACACTCGCTTCCCAACCAATACAGCAGGGGCTCATTCTCTCTTCAAGATATCGCCTACTCGGCTCAACAGGCGCTCGAGCAGAGTCCCGAGGACAATCTTGTCCCCGTCGATCCGGCTCTTCATGCTTACACAAATGGGGTTTACAACGGCGACTACACGCATATGAGCGCTGCGTATCCCTCAAATGGTGACAGTGTCATGTCATCGGTTGAGTATCAGGCAGACGAAGGCATGCTCATGGATGGCATTGAGCTCCATGGCCATAACAGTGAGCCTCATGGACCCAGCATAGAGCCTCTGACCCCTGGTCCACTTGCGGCCGCCAGCAAGGGCCAGATACAAAGCCATGCTCATTCGCCAAAAGCTCTCATTCGGAGTCAGGAACTTCGTCACCCTTCGTCATCCATTTCGCCTCGGCATGTTACTGCCGCTTCTCCCACAGCTGACCCCTACCAATCCTACCTGACCTCTCCCGCTTTGAACAACTACAACACTTTCACCACAAATTCCGACTTTCCGCCTCCACCCATCACGCCCGTAGCCAATTCCTTGAGGTCAGTGCGCTACCCCAACTCTTCGGGGCCAAAACCACGGCGCACCCCCTCTCGCGGCGGCAGGGGAAGCAAAACGCCAAAGTCAACGTCAGGCGGTCGGCGCACAGACAGCAAAGATGGTATCAAATTCGAGTATGGGCTCGCGGTGGGCATGGCGGGCATGATTGATCCGAACCTCGATCAGGCTAGTATCAATCTTATCAAACAATTGCAACAGGAAGACCTGGGGCTGCGTAGGAGGAGCCGGTGATTTGGATCTATTTCTCATCATGCTCATACTCTTTTTCCCCCCCTCTCTCACCTCTCTCTCTCCGATGCGCACATACACGCGTCCACACTACGTTCGTAGTATATCGCACGATTTTCTCCTGTTTATCATACTCAATCGCTCTCAGTCTTCACGATAGCATTTTTTTGTTGCGCGACATATTCATTTTAGTCATAGGGGCGTTTTGGCATTTAATCGCGCGGGAAGAGCCGTCCAGGCATTTTTCGGGGCGTATGGGGTCTTTTGCATTGTTCTGTGGTTGTTTTTATACCCATGCACTGGGATAGTGTATATTGCTACTCTTTCCCTTCCTTGCTCACTTTACTATGTCTGGCTTAGGACTCTGGCTTTTGGCGCGGCGTTTTGATAGGCTAGCATGCATGTGCGCTGTTAGTGCTTGGATGAGACCGCTAGTTGATAGTTACGCATCAGTCGTATACTAATGGAATCGAATATTGAAAGATTCTCTGTGGTCTATCGACTGATACCATGTTTACGTAGTTGTAATTGGGGTATCTGTTCAAGCAGGACGTCATAGGTTCAGGGGTCTAGTCCATAATGTTTCATTGGATACGTTCCATTCGTAGCTTGCCAGATAGAGGCATCGCAGCATTGATCTATACCTTGTTTCCCGATGGCTTTGCAATGAGGTAGCTCCGGGATTCCTACTAATCCAAATTGTCCTTGTATGCAGTCTACTCGAGTTCGCTGGTGACGTTGGAGAACTCGCCCTTGTTCAATTTGGTGTCCCAAAAGATGGGATTTGTGTCGTTGAAGCCATGCTTGACCCACCCATCCTCCTTGACATGGTACAAGTTGATGAAACCACCCGAATATGCATCTCTGTGTGTGGCGGCCAGGATACTCCGTCGACCCAGCTCGAGGGCCTCATCATCCTCCAAATCATACTTGTATGAGGCATCGAGAACACCGTATGCAAACGTCTGGCCGGAGCCTACGCAGAAGAGGTTGCCGGCGAGACGGGTACCGTCGCTGTCGATGTAGTACAGAGCGGGGCCTTCCTGAGGGGTGACGCCCGCGCACATGGTGCCCTGTTGACTCGTTAGTATGTGGTCTTGCCATGGAGCTTGTCCGGAACAGTAGAGCTCACCATGCTCAGGCCCATGCCCTTGTACGAGTAGACGAGGTTGGCGAGGATCTTGGAGGCGGCGGCGACGGAGATGCGGCGCTTGTGGCGGAGCTCGTGCAGGCGACATTGCATACCGAGATAGGCGAGCCAGTACTGGCAGTCGGCGGCACCACCAGCCATGGTGCCCAGTAGGCAGTTGTTGATCTCAATTACCTTCTTGACTGTCTGGCTAGCAATCCAATTGCCGGCCGTGGCGCGCGAGTCGGTGGCAACGATGATGCCTCCCTTGAAGCGGAAGGCGAGCGTCGTGGTACCGTGGGCGATTTTGATGGGGCAGTTGGGGTTGGAGTAGTCGTCTGTCATGGCTCGCAGCCACGATGCCGACTAGGATGATGTGCATTAGTACCAGTGCAGGAGACGAGGTGCCAGACTGCTGGCGAAGGTGAGGGACAAGTGGCTAGGGAGGAGGGGTGAAGGGTGAGGGACAAGGGAGAAAAGGCCAAGGGGCGCCTACCTGGGCGACGGGTGGCAGGGCAAACTTGAGGGACAGTTCGGGCATGCCACTGTGAAGCTCGAGCTGTTCGTCTGCTGTTTGGCCCTCCTCTGCGTACGCCGGCCGACTGTACTGGGCCACCAACGAGTCCATGGCTGCGGGGGGTCAGTGTGAGGCAAGAAACTCTGGGGGCAGGTTGGTAGAGAATGCGGAGGAGGTCGGCGGATGAAAGGATCGATCGTAGGAGGTGATCGAAGTGATGGTGGTGGTGGTGGTGGTGGTAGAGGAGAAGGAGGAGAAGAAAGAGAAATGGGTGTGGTGGGAAGGTTGTTGACGATATAGTCTACAATACAATCGAATCAATCAATCAATGACGGTCGTGTGGCTGTCTGTGACTGTAGGTACTTAGGTACAGTGCAAGCAAGCAAGCTCGGGGAAGCTACAATGCCAAGACCTGTGTCGCGGCCAGTGTTGCCTTTTGCACCTGCCAACAACCCCCACGCCTTCCCTTCCCCCCACGTCTGCCTTCCTTCCCCACACTAACCAACTGACTCTGTACAATGTCTCCTACCTACATCGTCACTGTCTTTCTTCCCTTCTTACATCCACCACTCAACAATAACAACAACAGCAAACATAGTAACAACGAGCATTATAGGGGGACATTTCTTCTTTCCATTCACCCACCCCTTGACAGGCCAAAGCTGCCTTTTCAACTCTTGCATTACTGACCACATCTACGTCAGACCGGCGCGGTCATTCACCACACAGCTCGCGTCACATGCACTCCGCCAAAGTCGACGTCATGCAAGACATGTCCTCAACCCACGCGCCCACTGAAAATCCTCACCGGCCTCAGTCATCCGTCCCCTCGGCCTCAATACATGTTCGCATGGCCTATATGCAGGCACCGTCAACACCATGCAGGCACCGCTTTTGCCCACTTTGTTTCATCTGCCCATCCTGCTCGCCACATGGTACGGCCCTCGTGCAGACCAAGTCCAGGCAGTGTGATGGTAGTGAATGATGCGCCTGCTCTATAGATAGTCATTGATCCGTTGTGCCCTCGTGGTGGGATAGGCGGAGCTGCTTTCCTATCATCGGTTGATCCTCTTCACATCCGAGATAAGTATCTGCCATTGCTCACTTTAGTGTCTGCATTCTTTTCAAATGCCCCGTTACGAATCTTCCTCCTATTTCTATTTTCCGCCATCGAGACCACCTTCTAGCTATATTCCGTCCTTTTCAGCATCGTCATATCATCGCCTAGCGCCTCCTTCTCGGTTGTATCGACTGCCCGCTCGCTTCAACTCTGACCTTGACATTAGCAGGCCCGAAGAGTCCAGGAGCCGACATGTGCTGGTTCACCCTTATACCAGCCAACAGCAAGAAAGTCAAACGCCATTCCTCCGATTCCTCCTGTGCAGAGGATCTCGTACGCGTTCATCACAAGTCAAATCCACGCTTCAGCAACATCAAGATCAAGATTCCGAGCAGTATTAGCATGGATCGCCAGAACGAACATCGGCAGCATAATCCACATGTGCGCCCTCATCCGCATCACCACCATCTCCCACACATACATCCGCTCCATCTTCATCCGATGCATGGCCCTCATCATCATCACCATCATCATCATCATGAGGCACCAGCAAACAAACTTCGTGGGCCAGGCCGAAAACGATCAGCCTCTCCTCCCTTTTCTCCGGACAACACAACCTGTCCATCACACTCACCGTCTCCTTCAACCGCTCTGCCTACACCGCGCGAGCCCGTGTACCGAACACAAATTATAGAGCCAACGACTGTCCGTGAGACCACCCGTGGAGCGCTGCGTGCTATGCAGTCAGACCGCCAGCAAAGCCGATTACGGAGGGTTGCTGGGTATGAGGTCCTGAGTAGGGACGTTCCGTGGCAGTGGGACTGTGTGAGTAGTACCGTGGGAGGCAGTAGTGTCGGAGGTGGAAAATGGATCAAGAGGAAGAGCCGTAGAGGCTTAAACTATCCGCCTTTTGGTAGTATTGAAAGATGGATGTAGCATTAACATCTTGACAGAGTGGCACCATGTATTCATATACATAATAAACCAGTTGAGACTACTCCTTCACGTGGCTGCAAAGGCAATTGGCAGAATAGAATGTTGAATAATGTGGCTACGTGCAGATCATCGTCAGATGGTGGGGGTATTTTTTCCAAAAAAAAAAAGCGACTACGATAACAGCGGGGTATGCTGTAAATACGACTGGTGTACAAAGGGCGGAAAACCATCCAAGCAAACAGTTAGCATGAATCTATGTTAGTGCTCGGGACGGCTGGAATCGATCGATTATCCAGTGACGAGCTTTCTGCCATCGCCAACGTCATTACGAAAAGACTACGTTACCAGAAGTGAAAACGCAACAAGCCATCTCTGTTCGTCACGCGTCTTGTGCGCTCTTTGGCAGCAACTTGCGCGGCATGTGTCTTTTGGCTAGAACCTGGATACCTGTCAACTCATGCCCTCCTCCCGTTTGTACTCCAAAGCTGTCGGGTGATTGACCCCGTCCCGTCCTGTGACGCATAAGATCCATTCGCTGCGTTACCCCAGTTCCCAATGCTACTGGTCCGCTTCGCTCGCGTAGGCTGCCGCGTAAGACTTGCGTTCACCTCTTTCCGACCTCCTACGTCTTTGAAGCCCAGAACTTCGGGGCGGTCGAGATCAAAGGGGTCCGATTGTCGGACGGTGCGGCCGCTGGACATGGCGGGTGTGAACATGCTGGTTGCAGGACGGCTGGGGCCTGGCTCCCCAAAGTATGTGTAGTGCGAGTCTCGCGTCGTAGATGTCGTAGTGATGGCATTGAAAGCTGGATAGGTAGCTGATGAAGGACGACGAGAATGTCCGGAGAGCCTTGCTTGTGTGGGAGCCAAAGGACTGACAGGATCTCTAAAGGGGTCCGTTGTATTGTGCAGCCAAAGTGTTGGCGGTGGGTGTGAGCCGAGTGCTGACAGGGCCGACACTGCAGATAGTGAACTCTTGTTGTGTTTGTGATGTGCGTTGGATTCGATGCTCCTTGGTCGTCCTTGTTCCATGGGATCATAGATTGAAGCGAAGGGGTCTCTCGGTACCTTGTCCGCCGTCGCTACAGGCACCTGCGGTGTAGCAGGGCCGCTTTGAGGATCTGGGTTGAGAAGGGAGAGGGTTGCCGGAGGTGCAGGATCTGCGAATGGATTTGCATAGTCTGAAGTACTTTTCCCCCGTTGATCGTCCATAGCACAAGGAAACCGATAGTTCGAAGAGATGCTGTTTTGCTCCTTTCGAAGTACCTTGCGCCCACTTTCCCTGCTAGATGTCGAGACTGGACGTCTTTCCACAAACATCCCAGATGATTCGCTCGAGGATCGCAGGCGACCGCCACTGTTGGTGGAGTACAACGAACTCACACTGTTGTGCATCGTGTGTCTTTGGTAGGTATTGCCCATAGGTCCGGACTTTTTACCCGTGAGCTTTGCGATCAAAACCCCACATGATGCGGCTATCGATCTCAAATTTTCAAGCAACACTGGCCCCTTACTATTCTTCTCCGTCCACCTAATTTCCTTTGACTTCCTCTTTCTAAGACAGAAGAAGAGAAGGCCTAGTAGCAATACCAAGCTAGCCACACCACCAACAACTCCTCCAACAATGCTCCCTATATCGGCGTTTCCTGACTTGGGTAAAGTAAGAGGCGCATCATTGTCGCCCCGATCAGGTTCTATTATGCCTGCAGGGTCATCCGTCGGGGTCAAATTTGCCACAGATGTTGTTCTTCCTGGCTGCTTGGCAGCCGGTAGGTTCGTATTCGATATTGGAGACTGTACACTAGTCGAACTGGAAGCCAGCGGGGCTGTGACGACAGGTGTGGGCCCATTTGAGGCAGCCGGAGCTGTGAACAACGGCGCTTGTGTTGAAGATATTTGCCGCGACAGACTGGTAGCTATGATGAATGAGTTAGAGTCTGTTGATGTTGGGATCAGGGGAGGTGCTGGTGTGGTAGTCACAGCAGCTTGCAACGACTCGGCCGTGGGACCAATTAGTTCCTGAGCCTGCGCGGGGACTGAGGATGATGCTTCTGCCACTGTTACACTTGAAGGCGGCACAGGCTCATTCCCAGGCGCAGTCGATGGCAGTGCAGCCGCTACTGCTTGATCTGAAGATGCCAGATCTGGCAGCTGGCTGACTGGCGCTGATGACGAAGGAAGTGCACTGCTCGTACCTGTGGCCGAAGACGCTGCAACCACTGTGGTAGTTGCACCATCTGTGGTGAGCACGACACTTGGTTGCTGGGGCAGTGTCGCGGTCGAAGGGGATACTGGCGAAGGGGATACTGGTGAAGGGGAAAATGGCGAGGCGGACAAGGACGAAGAGGATGATGGCGAAGGCGGTGGAGGTGGTGAAGGAGGAGGTGAAGGAGGAGAGGGAGCAAGAGGAGGAAGAGGAGGGGCATCAGCGGTGGTCTGCGTTTGGGACGTCTGTTGGACGGTTGTGGAGATTGTTAGTTCCGTTGCGGTGGCCGCCGTGGATTGTTCGGTGAGAGGTGTTGGAGTGGCCGCTGTTCGGGCCCGTGAACGTGTACAGCGCCGCCCATTAACCGTTGTGACCAACTCTTGAGGAGATGCCATGCATGCGACAGCTCGTGAAAGTAAGGCCGACGCGGGCTCAAAAAGGGAAGACAAACAAAGGAGAGTGCAGGCGCCGCGAGCGCTTTGAGCATATCAACGTTGGGAAATTGAAGTTTACCGCTATGTGATGTTGAACAATGGGTTAACAGACAGATGGGTTAGTACATGTTCGAAGAGCACCAGGCTGGTTGTCAATCGTTGGCATGAAGAAGTGCGCTTGTATGCTCCTGAAACGCGCATGGCCTCATGTGCCGCTTCGGCGAGCGCGCACAACGCATCTGAGGCGCGATAGGCTTCGCAGACCTGTACGACACCGCCATGGCCGTCTCAAGCGGGGACAAACAGGCTTCCGAGAGGGAGTGTTCAGTCGGTGTGGTGGGTGGGCTCGAGTCCCAGTTGGTGAGTGAGCTATGATACGGTAGTAGGTGATAGGGCAAGGTGCAGATGGATTGAAACGAGCGGCACGTGATGACTGGTTCCTCGTCCCGGTCCATGACCTACCGCGAGTGTGCGTGGAAGAAACAAAAGATCCTGCTCAAGTTTGACGACCTGTTGGGGCCATTGACGGCATGGGATTGCATGCTCGTCTTCTGTGTACTCGGGGGCGGGCATGCGGGCATATGGCACAGCAGACATGCTGGACCTGGACCTTACCGTACAGGGCTACCGTACCGCCATCGGCCTTTTGAGCCGAACAACACTTCCCTCTCCCGGATCCAAAGACATCCAGAAAAGACGCCTCTCTTCACTCGCGGAATATCCTCTGTCCCACTGCACAACTGTGCTGTCCATGATCACTGCGGGCCTGCTCTCTCTCCGCCGCCACAATGTTCAACTTCAGCGGTGAGTCTTGTTCGGGTCGCACCACCTTCACGTCATCTCCCATCGCTCAACTACACGTCTTCACAACATGGACACCACTACTATATGGCTGCTCGTCGTTGTTGCACACAGCTTTGCGCACTACTGGGCATGCCCATCTGTCTCCTTTTCATGTGCTTCGAAATAGATCAACATTTCTACGAAAATTTCGTCGTCTGCTTGTCGGTTTCTTACTGTCAAGTTCTCCCATCATGTTTCAAGCATGTACCACACACACACACACACACACACACAGAGAGAGAGAGAGAGAGAGAGAGAGAGAGAGACCCACAAACATATGATATCATCGCTGATTCAAGCCTGTTTATCCCCAGGAAACTTACTCGCGGGTCAACATGATACACAGAAGGCTAGATCTCCGCCATCAAAGCCAATACCTATCACGTTTCCATGCCTTCAGCCACCCGTGCCGTCAGCTGCAAGCCCTCCCCCATTGTGGAAGGATCCTGGTACGGGAGTGACCGCACAGTTCCTGCGTCTCAAAAAACCAAGTGATGTTACCAAGGACACCTTAGCTGCGCTCAACATTACCTTCCAGCCTGTTTGCGATTTCGACACTTTGTTTTCCTCTTTGCCTGATAATGCACATTCGCATTTGCCTCCAAAGACTTGGTTGGATCCGCCAACGGATGGCCAAACCCCGCAGACAGCCTCTCCGGCTGTTGCTGCCCCACTTCTTAGCAATTCTCGAAAGGCCCCTGATCAGCGAGACTTCTATGCCCGCCTCAGAGAGCTGTACTTTAGCAATAATGACGCTTTCTCGACACTGACGCGAAAGGGAAATGGAAGCCAAGCGCCGCTACGGCTGGCACACTTCCGCAAGTTCTGGGAGGGGCTTGACAATCTAGCCTACTACTGGGACACTTCCCTGGACATATACACTCCGCCGCAGAATGACATCGACAACCATGACAGATCCAAAGAACAGGCTAGTCTAGCAGGTAGCGCAAACTCCATAGACCACGTCCTTGTGAGTGGCAACGAGGATTCCGCATCCGTGGATGGATTCGAGTCTCTTGTAGGAAATGAACCACGGAAGAAAGCAAAGACCGAAGCAACGAATGATAACAGTGCTTCAAACGCTTTCGATATGAATGGCTTCGGAAACGCCTCGATAGCCACCCTAGCATCCTCAAACATACCAAGTCGAGTGCTCCCAGCACGGAACGCCCCCCCAAAGCTGGTTTGGAGGACAAGTACAGACGATCAAGCTTCTTCAGCAGATTCTGCATTGGGTTCATACAGCGGATATCGAATTGGAAACGGCGCCGAGATGCCGGATCAGTATCGCATCGACTGTGTCAGGGCCTTCATAGAACCGATTGCCTGGGCATTTGGAGTCACTCTTTCGCCGCACAGGCGCCCGCCAGTATTACTGCTTGGGCACATACGCTTTCCTGTGCGTATGAGTTCTGTCGCATGGCGAGGACCCCTGGACAGAGCAAAAGCTCGACAGGGGTGGATGGAAGGACCCATAGTCGGTGTCCAGTGTAGAGCTGATGTCAACTTTGGCAAATCAGGGGACCTGGAGGCCGAGTCAATCCTTGATACTGTCCGAGAGCTTGGCGGACTGCTTCTATTGGCACAGGAGAGAGCAAGAGAAGGAAAGACGGAAAAGCGAGCTGGTGATGGGAAATGGTGGACAACCAAGCAACGTTGGGGTGGAGGTCCAGGGGGCGAAGTAGGTGAAGCTACCGAAGATACCAGTGTAGTTAACAAAGGCTCCACTGTTAAACCAGAAGAGGCGGTTGAGAGAAACCGGGATGGCTCTAGAGCACGCCGAAAACCAACCCCAGCCGAAGTCTGGAAAACTCTGAAAGCCGGCAATCCTCTATGGGATCCCAAAGTCGTATATGAGGCGATTGGTAAACACAAAGGCAGTGATTATGACGACGTGAGCGATTCGCAAACTTTTTTGCGTGGTGTTGTTTTACTGACTGGAAAAAGGTTTTCATGGTATCCTCGTTGAATCATCATATCAGCATCATAAAACTTCAGGTTCACCGATGCTATCTACATTACATCACCGAAGGCAAATTACCAGACAATGTACCCGCAGGCACCGACTGGTGCTCGCCCAAATTCCAGAGGACACGTTGGTTTGATCTCTTCAGTATAGAAGATAGAACGGAAGCCATGCGGGGAATTTGGGGCCTCATGTCCTATATGATGCGGGCCAACACTGATGCCCCGGGAGACTCAGCCACGCCTGCTGGGGCAAACACACGATCATGAACGTACAATCATCGCAGTCGAGTAAGTGCCAACCTTGCGTTCGCTACCAACGAGCAATACAACGCATGTATATACATAGATGCGCTTGTCACCACGCTTTACAGTTAGTGCGCGCTTCACAATTGTGGTGACGAGTTCATGGCCATCAGTTGGATCTTTGGTCTGGATGTCCAGTATTATATGGTCTCTGAGACATCATCGGTGATTCTCTTACGGTATTTGAGGTGCTTTCGAATTGTTGGATCCTCTAGTTCAGGTCTACCTGCAATCGCACTGATCATGAGGGCGAGCACCAATGTCTTGTTTGACTTCTTCACTTTAGCTTGCAAAACAGGTATGTTACCATCAAGAACACATCATAGGCTAATCTTGCCAACATCATGGAGCGTGCAAGTCGCAGTAGACGCACCGCTCTAGACTATGCTAACAGATCGATAACGTGACGTGACTGGTCTGATACTGCCAGCGTCCAAATTCAATCATAGGCATTCTGATGCCGTCAAGCCTCTAACCCTTGACGGACTGCCCGTGGTCTCCTGTACAACATCATGAGAGGATAACATCCATAACACTTTGATGAATGAATCACCAAGAATTTCACCCCTCACTGTATAACTGTGGCGTAGTTGGACAAGCAGTTTGGAGAGGCAGTTGACGTACAGATGTAAGGCGCCTGTCATTGCGCCTAGGTTTCTACATACGTGGAGGCATGATGGGCGTACACGACTTCCAACTTCCGGCTAATAGTAAGTCACAACGCCATACTCACTGTCACAATAAGGGGCCTTCACACTAGCGGGAGCCACCAGAGAAGTTGCACCGAAACCATGAACCGTCCATTCACGTTCATACTGAAGATGCAGAAGAGGTGATGTACGTCTCCGATCACGTACCTACCACCATGTGACGTTACACACTCCCTCGCACCGGTCTTTGGATTTATAAAGTGTCGTTACCATCGTTACCACACTGAACAAACAACGCTAGCACCACTGCATCAGTCCTATTGCTTTGTTCAACCCATTGGCTGGGTGATGACCAAATGCTAGCATCAATCTCCAGGCTGATTCCATAGACCAGGTCTACGAAGCAATCAAAGGTATCTGCAACTAAGTAGTTCTGCACACATAAGGCTGGGGATGAGGTTGTGAATCGGCGTTCACCTACTCTTTACGTCTCCATACACCCACTCCGATCCCAAATAGCACCCGATTCTGCTGAATTATGTCCACAGAAGAGGCACTGTTGGCGGGGGGGGGGTGATTAATTCGGAATTTTTCAACTTTCGACACGGCAATGAGACTAGGTGCTGTTGTGGGTGCGCCTTCGTCTGGCAGAGTAACAGTGGCTTGGGAGCCTGCGATCATGAGCAAGGGAGCGGTCAGCAGCGACTTTCAATGGCTTTCCCTCCAGTATTGACGCCGGCCTTGCTCTTGGCTGAACATATATAACTCAACCCAGCCACGCAGAAAGAGTGCCTCATCGCTTACGGATTCGGCACCAACAAGGATTGTATTCCATCATCATCAACACGTTTTCCTTCTCGTAGATCTCGCCCCACTATCGTGTACCATACTGTTGTACTACGTGTGCGCTACAGAGGCCACCCATCAACTGCTAGGGACCATATATCAGATCGAACTACCGCCACTGAAGTTTGCCAAACGACAACCTCACCTCTCGATCCCTTCAATTGCATTCATCTTTTAGTAAGATGATTATGAGTATTTTCTCCCTCACTATGGCTTTATATGTCATACTGGCTGTGTCGGAAAAATCCAGGACTGTTGATTCAGACCTCAACGCCCACCTGAAGAGTGCAGCTACCAACTTCGATCGTCAAGCACTTCTCGCTGAAGATCGCGACTGGTGGTATGATTTTGATGACCATCCCAACTTTCATAATGCCGTCGGCTCCGTCATTACAGCTGACGCCGCAAGTTTCCCTGCTCTGACTGGACTAGGCATCAGTATTGCGCTGTTGAAGCTTGCTCCTTGTGGCATGTTGCCACCGCACCTTCATCCACGGGCAACAAACCTCGTCACAGCTATCACGGGAAATACAACCTCATGGATGATTGGAGAGAATGGTGTCAAGACTCACAGGGTTGATCTTACACCTATGCGGATGACCATTTTCCCACAAGGTAGCTTGCATGTCATGCAGAATAATGGTATGTGTCATTCTCCTTCAATGGATCGTAGTAGTATAGTAATCATGTCCAAGATTGCGAACCCGCTCTCTTAGTGAGCTCTCTCAATAGCGATGATAGTGGTACACTCAATATTCTACCAAGTCTTTGGTCCTTTCCGCAAGACATCATCCAGGCGGGATTCGGCAGTTCCGCCATCAACATTGTCGATTTGGGTAGCAACATCCCTGCCCCTGGTACTGGTGCTATTATTGGCAGTATTGAGTGCAAGAAGAGATGTGGAATCGAGCACGGAAAAGTTTAATCTTCAAAGAATGGCAAAATGCACTGCGGGTCGGGTATTGGCTGATTGCCATGGGTTGGGTGGGTGTTGTGTCTCATATGGTGTGTGCGATTCCTGCAATGAGATAACGACGACGAAAGAAATAACAGCAAGTGAAACAAAGAATGACTATGATCTTAGCAAAAAATGCGTGTGCCACTATTGCCCGCAAACACTTCAAATTTTTTGGCATTAGATGCTGCGCGAAATTGTCAAAATAGATCTTGCCATGCGCTTTGACCTAAGAACCAGTAGCAAACGATACCAAAGCTAATCAAAATTACTGCAGGTAGCGGTGGTGGTGCTCTTTGATCCAGTGCATGGATATTCTCCTGTGTGTGAAGATGTTTGGCTGTGTTTCATGTAGCATGTTTATGTCACACACTACCTAAGTGGAGTCTTAGCTAGATAAGAGAATTACGAATGTATGTTACTTTACCACAGGTACTCCACCTACCCCACATGGAGCTGAAAGGAAGCCAATCTGTGCGATTTATAGAAGTAGGATACTTTCAAAAGCTCACCAAACGCCTTCTTACCTTACAAGGAAATAATCAGGTGGCTTCTGGAAATGCCCTTCCTATCCAGATCCAACCACTTTATTTAGTATGACTACAGTTTGCTGATATTAGTATGTGAGATTTGCAATATTATTATAATTCATAGAGTTTATCTTAGTGCTGAACTACTGCCGGCTAAAATTGGTTGCTAAAAATGACCAGCATTGTAAATACGCACGATAACGTAGCCAGCCATGTGGTGGTGTGACTTGAAACGAAACTCCACACACGACCATATATAATATATTAAGATGTAGAACTAGGCTCGCAAGGCAATTCGCTGAGACTGATTGTCTATTCTGAGTGGCGGTAGAAGCCAATACATTAGATGCACCTCCCCTGATATTCCTTGTAGAGGCGCATATCTGTCTGCACCATGGGATTAGATTATGCTAGCACAGAGCCTTGTGGAAGAAGCACACTCGGGCAAGAAGTATAGGCCTTTCGTGATTGACATACATACAACATTAGTCAGACTAAAAGGTTGATTTTGAACAAATTAGTCGCAGGTAGTCTACCGGTACGAGATGCCAGCTTTGTGGTTGTATGCATTAGTGTCAGCTATGTATTTCTGCGGTGAGACCATACTGCTTCCATAGAAGTTAGTCAGCCTTATAGCGGAACAGATGCTACTCAACGTTTCCCCGTTGGAATTATGAACAGGAGGTGGGCAGTGCCCACTCTCACGCAGCGCCATATTTATCGTACGAGGTTGTTGTATTTGCTCAAGATCCAGCCTCCGTGTTTCACCGGCCAATGCAGCACATATCCCATGCCTTGCGGGTAGGTAGACATTTCCGCATGCTGTAAAAACACATGGCATTTTCGGGCTGGACATATTCTGAACGAAATACACAAATTGATTGGAACTGCATTGCGAGATTAAGCTTCTCATAACCTTTGTGCATACACATTTCTCAACATTTTTCAACCCGAACTCCTGAAATGCTCAACAATACACGAACAGCCACCGTTTTATTTAGTTCCTACGACCCCTACCATCCCCTTCTTCTTCCACGACTCTCCTGCCCCTTCTCTTTCCGCTTAAATCTCTTCACGTCATTTCTACGTTTCTTCTCTTTGCCCCACTTCTCAGGATCAGCAACAGCTTCGACCTTTCTCTTTCTTCTGCGTTCTTCCCTGCGCTCCCTCACAGCTTTTTGTACTTCACTCATGATCTTGAGGTACTCCGAAGTGCCCAAGCGCTTTTGAATAGAGCTCAAGATCTCGCGCGCCTTGTCTATGAGAGCTTTGAATGTCTCATTTGGCTCATTGAGTGAAGTGTCTTGTGTGAATTCGCGAGGAATAGTCGTCGCAGGGTCAACGAGTGTGTTGAGCGTCGAAACGACGTGTGGGAGCGAGGAGACAAGTGGCTCCAGCGGAAACTTGGCAGCAATTGTATCGAAAAGATTCATAATGGCGATCTTGGCGTTGAAGGAGCTTTTATCTTTGCGAACGATGCCTGACAGACGGATCATGAGGCGATGAATGGCTGTCGGTAGTGCTTCAGTATCCTTCGATCTGTTTGCTTTAGGTCTTGCAGACTCTTCGTCCGACGACATTCCGTCTTCATGTGCTACTTCGGTCCCCATTGCCGTCAGCTTATCTTCCTCATCCTCATCATTGTCAATCTTTTGCCACTGCCAACCTGCTCCGTTGACAGTGAGACAGCGCGCTAGGAAGGCGATATTCTTGACACTCTGCATGCAAAGCTGTTCCGTTACGTCTGAGTTTGACAAGTTTCTGAGGAAGACATTGCAAAGTTGTGTCATACTCTGCTCTGACAGTTGCAGTCCGCCAGACCCCTTCAACGGCAACGCATCTAGGCCGGTGTCTTTGTTGGAGATACCGAGATGCGCGAAATAGATCCCTAGCAGTTCCGCAGACTTGAGTTTCACCCACATGTGAGGATATGACGCGCTGGCCTCAATGGCGGTCCACAGACTGCACCTTCCGGCAGAGAACATGATATCTGCATACTTCTTGCAGATCTTGGAGATTAAGGTGAGAGCATAGTAAAGAAGCTCCCAATCGTCTTCGTCACGACGTGTGAGACATAGGTCAACGATCTGATCGACTTGATCAAGCACTTGAGACAGTTCCTTTGGCTCATCTTCTTGGTTCATAGCCTCGAAGTAGAAGCCCCAGCATTGGATACTCAGCCGTCTTAGCCCTATGTTGTTGTCTTGTTCCAGCCATCCCTTGAGGTCTGCGGTAAAGTTCTGCAGCCGCCCGTCGCTTGCGTATTGGAATAGTCTCTTGATGAGAATACTGGCCAATTCCCGGCATTTGCTTGAATCGTCGTTTGCTACAGTGCTGATCAACGGGAGGAACACCATTCCATGATACTCGTACTGCGCTTTCTGTGGGAATCTTGGAAGCGCTTTGGTGAGTACCAGATCCAAAGCATCCATTACAGACTGTCGGCCTTCTACGTGTTCGTATCGCAAGTTCTTCAGCAGGAATTCCATCTGCTTCCTGAACCGTTTCTCACTTTGTGTGTAGGATGTCAGGAACTGGAAGTAGTGGCTCCGAGCGAGGTCTCTTGCAGATTTTGTTTGGTTGGTGATCATCATCTCTGCAACCTTATCCATGACCTCGTACATCTCTGGAACGTCAAATTGACGATTCATGACTGCTTTGAGAAAGCCAAAGGTTACACCGGAACGGTCGGGCTCATCAAAGTCGGGGAGCATGCGCTTCAGGAGGTGGCCGATGTCGCGCTCCTTGATCTCTACGTTTGGTCGCTCGCGTAAAACTGCCGAGACTAGTTTTAACGATGCTTGTGCAAGTTCCGTATTTGATGATAATGCGCCCTTGATCGCACGCATAGCTTCGTCGATATACACAGGGCAGTTCATGTCAAGCTCGGCCATTGGGACCCGGATGATGGTAGTGAGGAGGCGTATAGCAGAAACCTGCACCTCTTCTTGTCCCTGTACCATGGCATCGCCAATGACTGGCAGGAAGCCAGCCAAGTTATGGGGTGTTTGAAGCTCATCATGCTTCCGTAGTACAGTCCGAAGAGTATCTATGCCGAAACGAATCATTTTGTATAAGTATGATGAAGTAGAGAGGCGCGCACCAGATTTCGCCGCGCCTCTGTTGTTGATGAGGTATCGCTTATTTTTTGGGTCGATCTTGAGCTTCTTGTCGGTTGAGGTACTAGCGTCATATGTCTCTTTGATAAGCTCGAAGCAAAATACGAGAATGTCCCGATTGTTTACTGTGGGATTCTGAAGGACTCCAAGTCCGATCCGTCGCAACAACTCGTCAATCTTTTGAACCATTCTCGCGTTGAGCTTCTCGATGAGAAGAGATTTTATGGGAAGCACCAACTTGATAATATGTGACGGAGTAGCAGATCTTGCTACAATGTCCATAGAATCAAAACTCTTACTACTTTTTACCTCCTTCATCTTGCTGATATACTCTTCAGCGTCTTTTTCTTGTCCAGTAATGCCAAAAGTATCGTCCATGACAACATCGACTATATCCGCAAGACAATAATCGAGGTCACCAGGCTTCAACTGATCCAAAAGCTTGACAAGGATGTGGTGGAGTGTGAAGGAGAGTACGTGCAGTTGGTAGCCACGCTGGAGAGCGGTACGTAATGCTTTTAGGATGAAGCCAATGTAACCCGGTCCCATGAGCACAGCAATGTCACTGAGTGTATTTCGTGCCATATCTCGACTCTCCTGAGCACGACTTTTGAGGATGTAGCAGATGTCCAGCAGGACTGCAGGCAGACGCGATTCAATCTCGGTCGGAGGAAGGACGAGGAGTACCTTGGCGATGGCGACAGCGATCGGCACTCGCAGACTCACAGTCGCTTCGTCTTTCTTATGTAGAAATCCTGTTAGATCGGGCAAGAACTGATCGATCAAATCTTTTGTCAACTTCTCTTGTTGTGGAAGCGTTCTCGTGAGGGTTGACAAAGGTTTTTCAACATCCATGACATCCATGACATCTGATACATCGTTCCCTTGTGAAAAAGACTCGGTATCTTGTTGAGAGTCCACTATGTTGACGTATCCTTTGGCGCGTCCTGCTAGGTTCAATCCATCTAGCAATCCTGCAATAAGCCTAATTAGGGATTTTTGCATGTCTTCCTTACTCGCCAGATAACCGATATATCTCTTGAGTAGCGAGCGGAGTTGAGGCCATTCCAATCCCTCTGCCAGTGCCGTTAGAGTCCTTACCGTCTCTCCTAATAGGCTGTCTGCGCCTTCATCATCACCCTTATTAAATACGAAGTGCTCCAGCAAGGGAATCAGGATGTGATAGATGTTAACACCTTGCAAGTGAGAGGCATTAGTAGCCAATCGGCGTAGGGCCCTAGTCCGACGATGGCCCTGCATATGCAAGATGTTGCTAAAGAAGGACGCCTCATCGTCCTCAGATAAGAGCACGTGCAGGTCGACCAAAGGACTCCAGTTGGGATGCATTTTGACGAGATACTCGAGAACTGTTAGAAACTCAACGCGGACAAGCTCCGACGTCTCGCGTACACCGCTCTGGATCCCAGGCAAGACAGCCGTAGAGATGAAATTTTTGAACTCATCACTATTGGAAACTTCAATCAAGCGACGGAGGGATAGGGATGCATTGACTCGAATGCTGAGTTCATCATTGTCTTTTATGAAGAACAGCATGTTGTAGGCAAGCGGTCTCCATTGTTTCATTGAATATAAGCGGTAGTTGTGTTCGTTGATTTCGTCGAATGCAAGCGAGCGACATTGGAAGTCGGGCTCATCCAGACGCCCCTTAGTGAAGGAATTGAGAGCGTAGCATAACTTGGCGATGGACACCAAGTCTTCCTGTGTGCCGGCCAGGTCTTGAACAATATCGCAGAGCAGGTTCCTTGCCGTCCGTTCGTGAACAAAGGCAAACATGGGACAAATGGCATCATAGATGGTACTGAATAGCTCGTGAAGGTTTTGTTGATCGCAGCGCTTTATGAACTCATGTAAGATCTTCAGTAGACCCAGCTTAGTACGTGAGTTGACCCGCTTTGCTGGTTGGCGGAGGAGAAATGTAGCTATCTCAATCATGCTTCGCGCCTCTACCGAGCCCGTCACATAGGGAGCCATATCTGCGACGGTTTGCACTCCTGATTCAAGTACATCTTTGCTTGGGCTTCGTCGGAGAAGATTGCCAACTCGGCTAAGCATAACGTTTGAATATTGCTGGATGATCTCGGTCTGGACACGGTTCTGGAGAAGCTTTGACTCTGTCGTAGTTGTTGCGCCCTGGTTGGTGACTAGGAACACAATGTTTCGGATAATCTCCTCCAGAACGAAGCATCTGACAACGTCTTTGGCGGATGGGACATCCAAGCAATCAATAGCTTTGATTAGAACGTCCTTATTATACTCTACTAGGAAAAGAGCCGTGTGGGGCGACTTGGACCACGCTGCGAAGAGTCGAAGAATTCCGGATACGGATTGAGCCGTCTCGATTGGCAACTGCTCAAGTCTGGGCTCCACGAGTTCATTGATGATAGCTTGCATGTATAAGCCCCAATCAAAATCCGGGCTGTTTGTGAAAAGCTTAGCCAAGATATGCAGCGCGCGTTGACGAACAGCTTTTAGCAGTGATGTTTGCATTGTACAATCTCCATTCTTCTCAATCGTACCAACTGCCGTGAGACTGCGAGAAGATTTGATGGCGCAGTATAGAACTGGATCTACGACGGCTGATGTGAATGGTGCGAACGTGTTCTCAAGCGTGCCAAGAAGATCGTCTAACAGGTTGAGCATTCCGGCCTGTTTGCGTGTCTCTACGGCACTTTTTTGCAAGAGTTCCTCATCTAGTGAGGAGTTCTGGATGAGCGATATACGGCTGAGTGGTCCGAAAGCGATATCTAGAAATTGGTGAATCGCCTCGTCTCCAAATCTGTTTTTAAGTCCCACAAACACGGCCTTCCTCTTTGATTCCAAACCGCGCTTTCCAGAGATTATTTTGCCATAAAGGAGCCGCAGGACAATTGGAAGTATATGCGCAACTTCATCGTCATGAAGCTTGCCATCACTCAGAAAGAGAGGTAGCTCATCCCTGAACCGAGCATCATCTAGCAAATTGAGCAACTGCTCTTGATGTGCGATTACCGCAGAATCTTTCCATGTCAATAGCGCCTTGAGCGCAGCCTTCTGAATATCGACATCTCCGTTGCTCAATAATGCGAGCAGGGCTTGCCGCACCTCATCCGTACGATATAAGACCTTGGGGTTCTGGAACTTGGCGAAGACAGACAACATGGCTTTTTGGTCTTTCCTAGCCCAACGATGTTTCGAGGAAGTTGGAAATGCATCGGCAACATTGTGACCATCATCGGCGGCTAGCATTGGATGGTCTAGTGCCCAGTCGAGGAGGGCAGGTACAAGAAGACGTGAGCGCTTCTCCGCGATGTGGGGTATGAATGCAAACAGCCTGAGCGCTTGGCTTCTGTTGGAAGAGTTATGAAAGGGTGTCGGAGCGTGCTTGTCTTCGAACATCACGCGCAGCAAATCTTCGGTACAGCCCGTCTGTGTCTGAATATTGGCCACATGCTCTTGTACCTGTACCAAGTTCGTACACTCAAATTCTTCAATGTATCGCCGTGATGAGGGAACCACATCGTTCTTAGCTGAGGACTCTCCGTCCTCCGGAAGACTCAACCACTGGAAAGCAGTCTGTGTGATGACTTCTTCGCCTTCTCTAGTCTCACACATCGATTTTAAAGCCGTGCAAGTGTCGTCCCAGACTGAGGCCATGCGAACGTGTAAAAGACCTAGACAGAAGGTAGGAATTGCTGTTCCTATCCACTCATCGGAACATACTTCGGGGTACAACTTTGCAAGCTGTCCAGTACGCATCGATATGGCTCGTTGGTTTTCAAGATTTAAGGGTGTCTGCTCTATCAGCTTGGCGACGGAGATAATATTACGCAGTGTTTCGTTTCGACCAGCGATGAGATCGAGGATGAAGATAGCTGTGAGTCTCAGATCGTGCGAGGGCGATCCCAAGCAGTGCATGAGTGACCCTTTGAGCGTGTCCATATGGGGCCCCATTTTGGACATGCTCTCACTGTGCTTCTGTAACAATACACGGATGGCATGCCAGAAGGCAAGAGAGTGGCCGTGTACAGAAGAGGCCTCACACAGCAAGGGCCACAGATGCGTTGCTATAGTTTTGTCGTCGCTTTTGGCAACAAGGAATTCGAAGCCGCTACCTACTGCGAAGGTATCGACGGTGCGCAATGGTTGATCTTTGCTTGCGGTAACGGCACGCTCCAGTAGTTCTCTCAAGCTCTTTTGAATACTCATCTCGGTTTCTTGTGACGTGCCAGCCACACCTATGGTTTCCAACAATGCATTGCAATGGTATGTTGGATATAGCACGTTGTCTTGGGTATCAGAGGCAGTTAAGGTATCAAATGGCTCATGGAATGTGGCTTGCCAACGGTCGGGCAGCTGCACCGCGTGATGTGCGAGTGATCCGCTATGATACAGGTGGGGGAGAACAGCACAGAGTTCTGGGCCATGCTCATGTGATTTCTGCGCGATGAATCTATGGCAGGATCAGCGTCTGCATGCAGTCATGAAAACAGAAACTATACTGACCTCTTGAAGTAAGGCAAGAGTAAAGCTCGGAACCTTTCTGCACCCAAGTCGGCAAATAAGTTGCAAAATGGCAGAAAAAATATTTCCCACACTCCTTTCGAAAGACTCTCTAATATCTTCTCATGTGGAATGGCTGCATCCATAGCACAATACTGAAACGCAACAGAAACCACCGCAAGAAGGTCCCATGCATCAATAGGATTTAGCTGGGCCATGGCAGAGGCTGAGTCTACCAAACGACTAATCGAGCCGAGGACAGGCCTCCAATCAATTATACGAGCACCGACTCGTACGCCAGAGACTACAAGCAGAAGATGGGATGCCAGTCTAACAAATCTTGTATCTGTTGAGATGGTGTTTATTTGGGCCAGAACAATGTCAAGGAGCGGCTTAAAGGTCTCCGCGTCCGAATGGTGTATGCTGGCGGTAAGAACCCCAATGAGGATCCGTTCTAGCGGTGGATCCTGCAAGTCGATGTAATCTTCATCGAAGGTTTCAGTCAGTAAGACTTGCAGTATGGCGGCGGCACTCGAGTGGAAGCCTCGTTGTACACCTTTCAGTGAGTCAGTCAGAAGATACATGATGCCGTGCTGAAACTCATGGTTTCGAGGAGACTCTGCAAGATCTTGTAGCTGAACTGAGATGTGTCTGATGATCAGCTGCAGCGGCTTCTTATCTCGATGATAGCCAACCCCTGCTTTTCGGATAAGAAAGCTGAGGGACTCGGCGGCAAACCGTGAAACGAAAGCCTTCTGATGCTCTTTTCCCAACAGAGGCGACATGAGATTGAAGACAGGACGCAGATCCGGTACTAGCAGCCTAGATAGGTATTTGAACAACCAAGCTAGACATCCGAAGCTCCATTCTATCACCTCGACTTCCGCATGCGTAGAGGCCAAGCGTGATACTGTCCTGACTGCCTGCTCAAAGTGCTTCTCGAACTTTTCTCCCAAGTCGTGGGCAAGGTGTGACATGAGACTGAGCAGCGGCTCCTGGCTGAACGTTTCACCTCTTTCGATAAATTCCACGAGCAGGGCAAAGATGCGGTCGCTGTGGTGGAGGACCTGCGGGAGGCTGTCGCATAGAGGCCCGACTTTGCGGGTAAAGCTGGTGAAGGCCTCGGACATGTTGAGTTCCTTCCATTCCAGAAATGAGTCTCGGAAGTAAGAGAAGTTCGACTCGAGTTCAGCATCGTCGAGAATCGTACTGCGACCGCGGCGCACTGGTTCGATCTTGAGCTGCGCAATGCGCTGCGAGAAGCCCTTGAAGACATGGTTGCGGGTGGATTCGGTGCCGCCCTTGACTTTTCTTGGGGCGCGAAGTTGTTTCATCTGGATTTTCTTGGACTGAGGGGCCGACTGTGTGGTGGCGCCTCGTGACATGGCGGCCATGGTGTTTTTTGTCGAGTGGAGGTTTCTGCGGTCGCGACTTATTCATGACTTTTGGTCCCCACTTTATTTTTCCAGTGCCAAGAGTTCGTGCACAGATGCTCCGGTCGCCGACGCGGACCTGACCACGTCCAATGTTCCAAGGTTCTAAGGTTACCGCAGCTACTCAGAAGTCAACACCACTCTGACTTCTTCGAGCAGCTCACACCATGGCATCCAAAATGTAGGTGCCGTATCAAGTCACGTGCATGCTTAACTAATATACGCAGTGTCGTCATTGGCGACGTCAATGGCCAGTTCAAACCCGTCTTCCAGAAGATTGGCGCGTTGCATGCAAAGAACAACTTTGCTTTCGCCATCGTTGTAGGGAGTTTGTTCGCAGATCCAAGTGCGGCAGCCGAGACAGACGATGTCGACGTGCAGTTGCTTGTGGATGGTAAAATTGATGTACCTTTGCCTACGTACTTTGCTCTTGCCAGTCATTCTCTTCCGCAAGCTGTCAGACAAAAGCTTGCATCGTCCAACGATGAATTGTGCCATAACCTGTTCTTCTTAGGCAGGCGCACAACTATAAAGACCTCAGAAGATCTTCGCATTGTCGCTTTGGGCGGGCGGTATGAGCCGAGCTTGGGTGCAGGCCAGTCCAACGACAAGTATTCGCCTTTCTACAGTGCGACAGATGCAAACATTCTTCGCGGAGCGATGACAGCCGACATTCTCATCACTAGTCAGTGGCCAGAGGGTATTCAAGGACGTTCCAAAGTAGACTTCAGCCCAGAGGTTCCACCATCATCCCAACAATGTATCGCAGATCTGGATGTGGTGCTGAGGCCACGATATCATTTTACAACCTCTGGGACCGCGTTCTACGAACGGGAACCCTTCTTCCACCCGCCAAGCGAGGACACCGACAACCTATACCCCGTGACTCGCTTCATCAGCCTGGCGTCCTACGGTAACCACAACAAGCAGAAGTGGATATACGCATTTGCACTTGAACCACATGCCAGCCATCCTGTCATGCCTCCTTCTGGGTCCACGGCTTGCCCACTCACCCTCTCAGAGAAGAAGCGATTGGCACCGGAGCACCACGATCAACATCTGGTGTATGACGACGGGTCCCGGGGACGTAGAGGGAATAAGCGGCGGAAGGGTGAGCCGCGAGGTCCCATCAGAGCCTCTGAATGCTTCTTCTGCCTTGCAAATGAGAACATTGCGACACATCTCATCACATCAATTGGGGAAAACTCATACTTGACCACTGCCAAAGGGCCCTTGCCAACCTCACAAACATTTGTGAAATTGGGGTTTCCTTGTCATATGCTCATCATACCGTTCACACATCAACCAACATTGGGCTCTATGGAGGAAGAAGAGCGACAAGCAACATATGCCGAGATGGAAGGTATCGCGTAGCTATGAACAGTATGCTCAAGTCCGCGACGGGAACCGATCTAGGATCAGTCACATGGGAAGTCAGCAAGTCTAGTCTTCCACATACACATTGGCAGTATCTACCTATCATGGCAGATCTCATCCACAAAGGCTTGGTGGAAGCTGCCTTTAGAGCCCTTGCAGAAAATTACCATTGGCCAAAGTTTCAGAAGGAAGATGTGGGCGATGGGTTCGAGGAGGCTAGCGACTTCTTCAGAATCATGATTTGGGATCCCACGAATGAGCCAGAGCGTCAGACAAGCTATGTTATGCGCTTCGACGATAAGATCCGCTTTCACAACCAGTTCGGCCGAGAAGTACTGGCGAAGCTTTTGCGACTTGACTCCAGGCTTGACTGGCGTGACTGCGGACAGACGCAAGCCCAAGAAGAAGAGGATGTTGAGAAGTTCAAGACGACATTCAAGCCGTTCGATTTCGCGGGGTGATATACCCTTTAGTCACTGCACACGTTCCATGTGACTCAGGCCCACGAATACCATGAAGCAGCCGTTCCGCCGGAGACGTGAATGTACAGGTTGACTGCATCAGTAGAGGTCACTGACGTTGGCGAGTCTTTTGGAGACGGAGAGAATCAAGGATCAGGCACAAAGGAACTATGTCCTGCCAAATCAAGTCGGAAATCGCATTCACTAGCCAAGTGTTTGTAGACCCGACGTTGCTGCAGACATACTCGAAACGGCATATTGGTGAGGAAAGTATGGAAAGTAGCACTAAAGGGTTGGCACTCGTCCTCAGGTGCCAGCCTCCAGCTGGTTGGGTTCATGGATGACTAATCTCCGGAGCGGCGCCGACAGTTTCTGCCTTGTTCAGATCATCACCTACCTATCCCGTGATACTGTACTATTCTCTCGTCTTCACGCTGGTCTGCTCGGCCTCGGACGTTTCTTTTAAAAGGAAAACAAAGATAGCCACCTGAAGAATGCCAGCACATGATCGATAGCCGAAAGGTTTCACGTTGATTATCTTGGCATCATCTTATACCTACACAAGTAAAGGTTCCAACTCGAGGTCCACGCCAGGGTCTTTATTTGGCTAACAGGATTACTTGGCAATCTACTGATGTCACGTGAACGAACCTCATACCCCTCAGCGCGGGGTCAGGGCGACGGTTGTGCAATCGTACTCTCCCCACACCTGATCTAGGTGACTACCGTAATTACGCTGAGCGAGCAATACAAGGAGCGACATCGCAAAGCCAAGGCCCGCCCCTGGCTACGAATGCTACCTAGCTATATACCTAAGATCTAGGGGGAGAGGGAGAGAGGCAGAAACGGAAACAGGGGCATCTCACGTTCTAGGAGTCTTATCATCCATTTGCTGTAGGTGCCTACCTACAGGGCGAAGCGCCCACTAAGACTGACGAAGACTTACGTGCCGGACCGCAAAGGCGCCGGTACGTGTACGATGCACAGTAGGTATACTGCTGTCCGTACGATATAAACAACGACAACGGAGGTTCCAAGCCGCGCACCAATCAAGACGGCCATGGCCTCCGCTCCCTCTCCTTAGCCCACAGCCTATCAGGCACCGCGATAAGGCCACCTGCCCACTCAGTACATACATGGCAGGGCTACGTCGGCCCCGGGTCCGCAAGGGGAAAGTTCAGCCAGTCGTTGCTGATAGATGATAGATCACTACAGCCGATCAGGTACACCTGATTTCGCGTGTGTCCCAGACGAGGGGAAGGTGTGCAAGATGGGCTCCCTTGGCTGGAAAGCTGACCTGCCTGATTTGAGTCGGGGAGAGCGATGGTGCATTGGCCGGGGGTGCTGGCACAGAGTTGAGGGCATCGTGGATGCTGGGGGCCGCGTGGTGGTTATCATTGGATTGGAAGCCATTGTGGTGATGGAGTAATGCCTGTATGGTGGACGCCGGGGACGCCAGCCGGGGTAGGTAGGCCTTCACAGCATTCAAGGATACCTATATAAGAGTGGGAAGCGCTGCCGTGTGTACTACTCCCGGCAGGCCAGGGCATTACGGTAGTTCAGCCTCGGTGCAGTGTTATCTACTTAGGTACTTTAATTACTTCGAGTACCCATTTCCCCTTCCCCTTCTTCTACACTACACCCTCCCTCTGTATCCTCTTCTCACCACCGCCACGATGAAGACAACCATTATCACCGCCCTCGCCTCCCTCGCCCTCGTCTCCGCGACCCCAACTCCCCTCAGCCTAGAAGCTCGTGCACCTCCCAACATCCCCACCAAAGCGCAAGCAGAGTCTCAACTCGCCGGACTCACCGTCAGAGCTCAAGGTCCTCAGACTGGTTACTCACGTGACCTGTTTCCTCACTGGATCAACCAGTCGGGTTCCTGCAACACCCGCGAGGTCGTCCTACAGCGCGATGGAACTGGTGTTGTCACGGATTCTTCGTGTGCAGCGACTTCGGGACGTTGGGTTAGTCCCTTTGATGGAGCTACTTGGACGGCGGCGAGCGATGTGGACATCGATCACATGGTGCCATTGAGTAACGCGTGGAAGGTATATTTGGCCAATTCCGCATAGAGAGATGCAAGCAAGGAGGAAGCTAATGAACTATAGTCTGGAGCAGCCAGCTGGACCACTGCACGTCGCCAGCAATTCGCCAATGACTTGACCAACCCTCAACTCATTGCCGTTACGGACGACGTCAACCAGGCCAAGGGTGACAAGGGTCCCGAGGACTGGAAGCCTGTAAGTTTTTGCCTTGCGAGGATTACGTGGAGAGGGCGAAGTGTACTAACAATTTTACATAGCCGCTAACAAGCTACTACTGTACCTACTCGAGAATGTGGATCAAGGTCAAGAGCGAGTGGGACTTGACAATTACAAGTGCGGAGAAGACGGCGTTGGAGAGCATGTTGAGCAGCTGCTGAGAAGATAGAATAGGAGGCTGTAGCTCTCGAGTAGCATGAGACATGAGCTGCATGAATGAAGGGCCTTGCCGACTAGAACTTTTGCATCATACAAAGGATAAAGGCTTCCAGAAACGCCTAATGATCGAATGGCAGCTCTTTAGACACCCAATCCAGCTACCATGCTGATCAAGGCAGCAAGCACTGGCTTCCATCTTAATCCCACACTCCCTCTTACCGCTGCATTCTCCCTATCCATGCCAGCACCGCAACCAAACAGGCCCTGCACCCCCCAGCTCTTCCTCATTGTTGCAACACATACAAAGCTCGGGTCTGCCAAGCTACACTCTTGGACGGTGCAGACGGCTGTCTGCAAGCAAGCCGTGTCGTTGATGGAGAAAATCTTGGTGGACAGAACGTGGCAGCAACTATAAAGGATATCGCGTTCCGCGCGCGTGGGGCCGAGGGCGAGGATGCCAGGAACTGTGTACGGGATGTATGCCAAGCCGTTGGAGCAAACGGGGGAAAGGTCAGGGATGGTGAAGGTGAAGTTGGCTGACATTTTGGTTATTATTATTGTCGTTGTTGTCGTCTTGAAGGGAGTGAAATAGGTGGCAGATGGACAAGGTGCAGAAAGGGAAAGCGAAGTATCTCATGCGTGGGAAATTGAGTCGAGGTGAAAGTCGAGGTGAGGTGAAGTAAAGCAAAGGATGGGGTTTGCCGTGATGGTCTGCTGATAGTCGATTTGGTACACTGATTTGTAGTAACAAGACGAGTCGAGAGATTGGTCGACGTGTTGTAAGAGAGGAGAGATTGATGTAAAGACAGGATAGAGGATATATATGCAATTGAAGGTGGAGTATGCATCTATTTGCGCTCGCTATTGAGGATGCGGAATGCACGTTGCGTCAATAATGGCCAATATAGTAGTTGTCATTGAGGGTATCCATTCGCCCAAGTCGCCGTGAAAAAGTGAATGACGCGACTGCGAAGCGTCAATAAGTGAGAAGCGCGCATATGTCTGCAAGCAAGAGTTCGGAGCCTGTTGAAGCTCGTACCGAGTCCCAAAGACACGAGTGTTTGAAAGTCTGAAGTGAAGGCAGTGCCTATCTGATTACATGGATATCATAGAGTGTACGCCAGATTAAACGCCTCACAATGTTGTAGGAGGGAAAACGCCGTCCAATGCTTAGTTCTAGAGCCGACAGACGGGCTACTCATAGCGCCTCGAGCTCAAAGTCGTCGAGCTTGTCGCGGTACTTCATAATGTTGCGCTTGATCTTGGAGGAATCCACCCACGTCACAAAATCTTCCCTATTCCTGGTCACTGTTAGCCACTCATCATGCAGGCACATCCTCTAGATCAACACTCACCGAGTGACCAGATAGGCTGGATCTGTTATCACATCCGTGCCTACTCTCACGTGGCCCTGCTCAATCAACTTGACAGCAGCCTGCACATTATCCGCCATGCGCAGCCTTGTCATGATGACGGGCAATCTTCGGCGCGCAAAGGCCGACACGGTCAGCTTGTGCTCTATGTCGCTCAGCTTTCCACGACCCCCACCGCCTGTGCCCAAGATGCCCATGTCGAACATCTTCTCGAGCATCAGGTCCTCGTGCTTGCGGCGGAAGGGGTCTGCGGGATCGAGGTTGGCGAGCTTATGGGCGAGCTGTCGCAATGAGCCGCAGAGCTGGTTGTACTTCCGGTAGTCGTCGCGGCCTTGGATGGCGTAGCGGCGCATAACGGCAGCCTCGCGGTGGTCATTGTCCGACTTGTATGTGTTGAAGTCGACCTGGGATGGGTGAGCAGCAAAGACTTAACGATGGAAAGCCGTATGTGGGTATACCTTTTTGAGGAGCTTTTGCTCGTGGTGCTTGAGTTTGCGCACCATAGTGGACGGACGGGTGGGGGAGAGAAGTATGAATGACAAGCCAGCTATTTCTTCTTTTTGCTTTGTCGCTAGGTGTTTCTTTTTACTGCGTTACTGTCTATGTCTCTATTATTGAGGCGTCGAGAGGTAGGGAGAATGAGTTGTAGGTGGTGAAGGATCCGCCAAAAGACGAAAAGGGAACATGGAACATTATTTTGCTTGGCGTCCGCGAAGGGTACCGGCAATTAACGTGATCCACCACCGAGCGCCCACCCCCACCGAGCGCCCACCAACACCAAAATCACTAAATTTTCAACACTAAATTTCTTAACAACTATAGCACCTATTAACAACGCGCTTGTAGCAATTAAATCCTTAACTCTTAGAGAAGATTTTATATACTTAGAAATAGTAGAAAAGTATAGTTACTTATAGTTAACCTTATCTAGATACTACTAGAAAATTTAGTAAGTATATACTACTACTCTACTAAATAGTTAAATACTTAATACTATATAAGAAAGTAAGCTTATAAAGTATATTAAAGAGCTTTATAAGTAAGGATTACCCTTTATATAGACTATTATTTAAAATTTTATAACTAAAATAATAGGGAATCTAATAAGTAAAAATTAGGTATAGCACTTTATTAACTACTATAATATTAATCTTATCTCCTATTAGGCTACTAGGCTTAATTATAACTACTTTAAAGCTAATTCTACCTTTAAGTATAGCTTATACTTTAAGCTTTTATACTAAAAAATAGAGTAATATAATATTAAGAGTTAGTATATCTATAATATAGATAAGAAGGGTTTTCTTATTAGAGTACTATTAAAAACTAAATATATATTTAATAAGAGCGCCTATAAGTAGAGAAAGATTAGAGCTATACTTTAGGATAGTAATAAGGAGTAGATTACTACTATAGCTTGTATATACGCTAATAGTACTACTCTTACCTCTACCCTTATTTATTAGTCCTAATCTAGAGCTTTATAAGATACCTAGTTATAAGATTTTAACCTATTATAATACTAAGCTTTCTTTATAGGATTACTAAGTAGGTAGATAAGCTACACCTTAGGGGTATCCTAGCTTAAGGAGGTGTTTAATTACAAGATAAAAGCTAAAGCTTATACTTTATACTAGCTCCTTATCCTTAATAGCTATAGATCTTATATAATAATAGAGTTTATTAAGTACTATAATAAATATAAGATCCTACTTATAATATATCCCCCTTATAGCACTTATACCCTTTAGCTACTTAATATTATAGTATTTACTCCCTTTATAGCTTTATATAAAGCTTAACTATCTAGTTTTCTAGATAGCTCCTAAGGGCTTATAAGTATTACTAAGAGGGATTTCTACTAGTTATTTAATACTATATAGAGTAATACCTTTAAGGAAAAGCTAATATTAATAGCTTTTAAAGTAATAGGTATCTTACTACTTAATGTAACAAGGTAGGCGCCCTGCCTATGAAATGAATACTACGTCATCTCCCCTGTCTGTACCAATTCGGCCATGGTCCAAAAGGTACGCACGAGAATACTTAAGCTAAGTAATCCTCGCATAGTATAATATATATATCTCAACAGATAATAGTGCTAGACCCTAGTGCCAACCTATGAACCTTGTTCAAGTCTAGCCTAGGCATCTAGTAAGCGCTAGCTATTTTAGCCTAGCCTTGTTACACTTAACCCTAATATTATCCTTTTAAGGTTTAAAGCACCTATAAATAATAGTAACTAGCCTTCTTTAAGTAATAGTATAACCTTAATATTAAGTATAAGTAATTAGAGAAAGATAGAGTAGTTACTCTATAATACTATAATTAATATCTATAATAAATAGTTAAAGAAGCTTAGCTAGATAATCTATACTATATTAGTAAGAAATACTCTACTTAACTACAAAAATAAACACCTAAGGGCTACCCTAGCTAATAAGAAGAAGCGTAGGAAGCGTAGTAAACCTCTATTATTACCCCCTAATAATAATTATAGTAGTAGTGCCTAATTTATTTTACTATTAAAGGTAAAGTAAGTATTTAAGCTCTAGAAGTAAAAGAACCTTAAAGAATAGGAGCTATAATACTAAAAAAGTAAGGTAATTAAGCTTTATAAGTAATAGAAGCTTACTAAAGCTTAACTTATAGAGGAGTATTACCTAAATTAAGTAATTACTAAAAAGGAGTAGAAGGAGAAAGCTGCCTAAAAAGCTACTATATATAATAAGTAGAAAACTACTAAGTAACTAGAAAAGTAACTCTAAAATAATATTAAAATATCCTAAATAGGTAAAAGGTAAATCCTTAAGCCTTCTACTATTATACTAGCTAAGGTGGTTAATAAGGAGCTAGTAGAAGAGGATATAGTAGTAGAGGTAACTTTATAGCGTAGGCGCCTAATTAGACCCCCTAAAAAGCTGCTTATATAATCTAAAATATTTAATCTACTCTAATAGATCTAATAATCACAACTCTAAGAAATCTTGTAATAATAGCTATTGTGGGTGGCGCAATATCCTTATTTAGTGGGTGGTGGATTTTGGTGTTGGTGGGCGCTTGGTGGGGGTGGGCGCTCGGTGGTGGATCACGTTAGCTTATCTTAGCGCAATCTGCAATCGCTAATCGCTGCTACACATTAGCCCCACCAATGACGGCGGACATGCTCCGAACACTTTTGACTTAGGACTTGTGACTTTTGACTGTTTGATACATTCACTGTTGACTCACTTGGTAGACCTTGCGCTCCGCCCATTGCGCCTTCCCAACCTCCTTCACTCTTTCTCTTTTTTTTACCGTATCTTTTGTCTCATCCTCTGTTCCCGCTCCTCTCGTCCTTCCTTCCCCTCTTTCCTCCCCTCGTACCCATACTCGTCCTTCCTCCCCCTCCTCTTCCTTCACACCATGCCCACCGTTCACCTCCTCGACTATGTCGCCGGCAATGTCCGCTCGCTGGTCAATGCCATTGAGAAGGTGGGCTATACGGTCGAATGGGTCAAGTCACCCGCCCAAGTCCCCGCTGCAGAGGTACGACAATGCCACCGACCAATCTACGCCAATGCACATCAATTCACGTAAAGACACGCCAATTGACATGTGCTGATGCAGTCTCACCCCTAGAAACTCATCATCCCCGGAGTCGGCCACTTTGGACACTGCATGTCGCAACTTGAGCAGGCCGGCTATATCGAACCTATCCGAAAGCACATCAGCGCCGGGAAGCCGTTCATGGGCATATGTGTTGGCATCCAGACACTCTTTGAGGGCTCCGATGAGGACCCGCATGTCAAAGGCTTGGGTATCATTCCACAGCGCCTGCGCCGATTCCAGTCTGCCGACAAGAGCGTACCGCACATTGGGTGGAACAGCGCCAGCGTCTCGCGAACTGGGCGCCCCACGGATGAGTCGCTGTATGGGCTACGACCGACTTCCAAATACTATTACGTTCACTCTTACGCTGCCCTCTACGAAGAGGGACCGTTAGAGAAGGAGGGCTGGACAGTCGCAACGGCACGCTATGGCGACGAAGAATTCATTGGCGCAGTTGCAAAAGACAATATTTTCGCCACGCAATTTCACCCTGAGAAGAGCGGCGCAGCTGGCTTACGAGTGCTGAAGGCTTTTCTCGATGGCACGCGGATACAAAAGCTGCCCATAGAGCCGTCGGGGCCATTGAACAAACCAGGCCTGACCAGACGCATCATCGCCTGCTTAGATGTCCGAACCAATGACCAAGGCGACCTCGTCGTGACAAAAGGCGACCAATATGACGTGCGCGAAAAAGAAGGGACTAGCAATCAAGTTCGTAATCTGGGCAAACCCGTCGATATGGCCCGGAAATACTACGAGCAGGGGGCCGACGAAGTCACTTTCCTGAACATCACATCTTTCCGCAACTGCCCTGTCGCTGACACGCCGATGCTGGAAATTCTTCGGCGAACCAGTGAAACAGTCTTCGTTCCCTTGACCATAGGCGGCGGGATACGTGACACGGTAGATACTGACGGGACTCATATATCTGCTCTCGACATTGCAAAAATGTACTTCAAATCTGGCGCAGACAAAGTAAGTATCGGGTCTGACGCCGTAAAGGCAGCCGAGGAGTACTACGCGAGGGGTAGCAAGTTGGCAGGCAACACGGCGATTGAAAGTATATCTTCCGCCTACGGCAATCAAGCCGTTGTCATCAGCGTAGACCCCAAACGCGTGTACGTTACCTCGCCGGAGGCAACACCACACCACACCATCAAGACGGCAACACGAGGCCCCAATGGCGAAGAATACTGTTGGTACCAGTGCACCATCAAGGGCGGCCGCGAAGGGCGCAATTTTGACGTCAGACAATTGGTGACAGCTGTCGAAGCCATGGGCGCAGGAGAAATCTTACTCAACTGCATAGACAAGGATGGAAGTAACAGCGGCTTCGACCTCGAGTTGATCAACGATGTCAAGGATGCGATCAAGATCCCGGTGATTGCAAGTAGCGGAGCGGGGCACCCAGGCCATTTTGAAGAGGTGTTTGCGAAGACGCGGACGGATGCTGCGTTGGGAGCTGGCATGGTGAGTTGACCTTGGCTCTGGATCGAAAATCAAATCATTTTCTATTACTGACAATCGGACAGTTCCACAGAGGAGAGTATACGGTTAAGCAGGTCAAAGATCATCTGCAAGAAAAGGGACAGATAGTACGGCCGTTCGAGGCTGATGTATAACTTTTCGTCTGCAGCGTAAATAAAGACCAAATCTTACTTTGACTACAGACGGACTACGATGAAACTTACATTGCCGACATGCATAAAGCCCCATGTCACTCATCTTCTGCCCTTTACTTCTTCACTACTCCATCTACTTCTACCACATGGCCCTCCTCGTTCAGCTCCTTATCCGGTTCCGCAAACATGGTTTCCTGCGCACTCCACAGTTCACTATACAGGCCATCGCGGTCAATGAGCTCCTGATGCGTTCCACTCTCCGCTACGTTGCCTTCTTTCAACACGATGATAACATCCGAGTCATAGATTGTGCGGAGACGGTGTGCAACAAACACGGACGTGCGCTTCTTTTCCTTGACGAGCGAGTTGATATGGTTGAGGAGGGCTTGTTCAGTGTGTGTGTCCAAGGCCGACGTCTATCATCCACGTTAGCCATTTTTGAAGCCAACGGACAAATAGGGAGACATTTCAAGGTGCAGTCAGAGGTAAATGGGTGCGTGCGTGGGACAAGACTTACAGCTTCATCAAAGAATAATAGCGGCGGATCCTTTAAAATCAGCCTCGCAACCGCTAACCTCTGCTTCTCACCACCGGATATCATCATCCCCCTCTCTCCAACCTTGGTGTTGTATCCATCCGGAAACCTTTCAATACTCTCATGAATATGCGCTCGTCGTGCCGCTTCATAGACCTGTTCTTGTGTTGCCTCGAGGTTGCCGTAGTGGATGTTGTGTTGGATCGTGTTGTTGAAGAGCGGTGTATCTTGTGGTACGACTCCGATAGCTCTCCTCAAGCTGTCGAGAGACACGTCGCGAATGTCCTGACCATCGAGGAGGATTCGGCCGGATTGGGCGTCGTAATATCTGAAGAGGAGGCGCAGGATTGTGGATTTCCCGCACCCGCTCGGTCCCACGATGGCGACTTTTTTGCCTGCGGGAATCGTCAAGGTTAAGTTCTTGATAATTGGTCGATCGGGCCGGTAGCCAAAGGATACGTTTTCGAACCTAATCTCGCCTTTGGAAAGGACGAGGGGCGGGGCATTGGGTTTGTCTTTGACAGAGACGTTTACTTTTTGCAGATTGAAGAGGGTTTCCATGTCCAAGAGAGACTGGCGCAGTTCGCGATACATGGAGCCGAGGAAGTTGAGGGGCACAGAGAGCTGGAAGACAAGCTGGTTAACCATGACGAGATCACCCACTGACAACTCTCCCGTGGCCACGCCGTTAGCCGCGAGGTACATCATGGCCGTGAGTGCTGAAGAGAAGATGATGTTCTGACCCGAGTTGAGGAAAGCTAGTGATGTTGCGACTTTGATGGACGCTTTTTCATAGTCTTTGAGGGCCGCATCATATCGGCCCACTTCGTATTTTTCGTTGTTGAAGTATTTGACGGCTTCATAGTTGATCATGGAGTCGACGGCTACGGTGGCGGCTTTGTTGTCGGCCGCATTGGCCTGCTTTCGGAATTTGGTGCGCCAGGAGGTGGTGAGGATGGTGAAGGCTGCATAGGCGGTCATGGTTGTGCCGGTGATGGCAGCGAATTGCCAGCCATACTGGTATGTCAGGATGCCGCAGACGAGGGAGATTTCCAACGCAGTAGGGACAATGTGGAAGACCATGGAAGTCAGCAGAAAACTGATGCCTTTGGTTCCGCGATCAATAGCTCTTGTCAAGCCTCCGGTCTGTCTGGTCAGATGAAAGCTCAGATCGAGCCTCAACAGATGGTCGTACACGCTGCATGCGACCTTTCGTATCGCTTTCTGCGCCACACTCGCGAAGACTGCATTTCGAAGTTCTTGGGAGACGGTCGCGCCAATGCGCGTCAGGCCGTCTGCTTCACTCAGTCACAGTCACGAGGAAGGGAGGGTGCAGCGATGCATGGATCGCTTGGTGCAGAGGGCTTACATGCAACAATCATGGAGCCAGCCACCGTCCAAGCTGTTCCTCCCACGGCGACGAAGTCTATGTTCATGGAATCGACAATGCTCTTGAAGTAAAAGGGCACCTGCACGTTGAGCAGCTTCGCGCCAACCAGCAGGCCCACACTCAACGCCACTCTAGACCTGGCGGCGAGGTTGTTCTTTGGCCACAGATAGTGCGACATTTCCTTCATAATGGCCCAGTCGGCCTTGCGCTGCTCCTTGTTGGTCAGCGTGTGCTCCTGGAGCAGCGGATCTCCTTTTGCAGCTTTGGGTATGGCCGCTGGGTCGCGGGCGGGACTGTTTGCTGCTTTGCCTGTGGCATGGACAGCGGAGGGCGTGGAGCCAGCAGGAGCCGGTCGCTGACCGTGGACATGTTTGCGGTGGTAGGGCGACGAGGTGAAGACGCGGATGCCGTGGGTGTGGGTGTGGGTGTTGGCGAGGGCGAGGGTGAGGGCAAGAGTGAGGGAATGCGGGCGCAAGCCAACGAAGCCCGACCGACAGACGGCGCGGGCCAGTGGTGGTGATGGTGGTGGTAATAGTGGTAGGATGAACATGGCGCACGTGCTTTACATGTTTCGAGTCGCAGCCCTAGGCATGGTGGGGGGGGCGGGGGTCGGCTGCTTGTCTTTTGGGTCTTTTGGGTCTTTTGGGGATGGTGTGGGGAGGTTTCAGAATCAGATCTGGATGATTGCGATGGCCAAGCGAGAGTCGAGAGTCACCCCAGGAGAGGAATTCAGGAGGAAGAACAGATTCTGTTTGGCTACCGATACTAGCTCTCTGCGATTCGGAGGCGAGTGCAATTGGTTGTGATTTGCTTTGGGTGAGATGTGGTGAGTACGGGTACCGGGGGTTAGCGGTGCTACTTGACTACTAGCAGTCATGGTATTGTACCTAACTTAGATGAGTTAGCTATAGCGTAGAGGTAGTTAGTAAGGTGGTTAGGCAGTGGCACTAGGGGGTACATGATGTTGATACATGGGTACAATACATACTACACAGCATATACTACATACCTAGCCCTTGCTCTACCTACTAGCACTAATAGTACTGTATAGAGTACTCTTGTGTCTCCTACACACCCTATTAGTACCTAGCCTCTACGTAGCTTAGGGCTGAAAATAGGCTTTGCACATTGCGCGACATCATCATCATCATCGCCTCTCCCGTCAGGACTCAGTGCTAGTGTCCAGCTTCAACGGATGCAAAAGAAGTAGTGAGTGAGCCGGTGCAAGGAAACTCTTCTTCTTTAACCCCCCCCCCCCCCCCCCCCAGAGGAGTCACGGTAATCACCTACGCCCAATTGACCGCCCACGCCATGCTGCTCCGACCGGCTGTCTCGCCATGGACAGCTGTTGCCCATCGCACATGCGCTGCCACGGCGCGCCGGTCCCCAATGCCCTCCTCACCCTGCGCACCCTCGCGATGCATCAACATTGCAGCCGCCGCCACCACCACCACCACCACCACCAACAACGACAACAACACCACCTCGGCCACAGACGCGCCATGGGAGCCCCAGACCAACATTGACACTGCCTCGATACCCACGGCCTCGCCAGGTATGCTTGCTTTCCCATTGTTGATTACTTCTTTTTTTCCCTCTTCTTTCACATTCGTTCACTTGCACTGTTTTGAACCGGAAGAAAAGCGACGGAAGAAAACACTCGAGTCTCTACTCACTCTCAGCCAGATGCCCACTTCAAAGTCCTCGGGACCCCCTTTTCCCTCCTCTCCGTCTCCCTCTCCGCCTCGCAAACACTCTACACCCGCCGCGGCACCCTCGTCTCCCTCAGCGGAAAGCCCGAAAACACAGTCTCGACTCTGTCTGTCCTCGAGCCCATCCGCCGCGCCCCCGTAGGCATCCCCTTCCTCTACCAAAAAGTCTTCTCCACGAGCCCCGTCACGGCTCTCATCTCGACCAAGTCGCCCATCTCGAGCATAGTCTCTGTCCACCTCGATGGCCGTCAAGACTGGGTCGTCAGCCAACGGCAGGCCTTGCTGGCTTGGACCGGTCACACGTTGAGTCTGAAGCCTCAGTACAATGCCAAGCTTGGGCTTGCTCACTGGGGCAATACCTACATCACCGGGCGAGGGCTGATGGCGCTTGCTGGGAGCGGACAGATCTATCAGGTACAGATCAAAGAGGGCGAGAGCTATGTGGCACATCCCAGGTACGTCGACAGTCTCCTCGACGCCTATCAACACAGAGCGGCGCTGCTGATACACAAGACAGCAATGTTGTCGCATACACGGCCTCGCTAACGCCGCCACAACCCTTCCGCTTCAAATCTTCCAACTTCCGCTTCCAGGTGCCTGACCTTGGCTTCGGCACCCTCGTACAAAAGGTCCGCTTCTTCAGAGTCATGAGCCAGACGGCAACGTGGAAAGCTCTGTCATCTACCTATCACACCCTCAAGACCTACATGCGAAAGATCATCTATGGCGACCGAGTACGAATGCCACCCTAGTACAATGCCTTCAGGGCTGCTAACAACAGTCCTAGTTATTCCTTCGCTTTGAAGGCCCCACCACGATGCTTCTGCAATCACGCGCCTCTCGCATCAGCGATACCCTCAGCCTACGAGATGTCAACGAAATCGCAGACAGCGCCCCAGGTGCTGTAGATGATGCCGTATCACGTAAGATCAGTCGGGAAATCAAGGAAGTCAAACGGGAATCCACTCCAACTCCTTCGCCTTCGACTGCAGAGACGTTGAGATATGTCACGATAAAAGACGGCAAAGCAGAGTTTGACAAGCCACCAGCTTGAATGAAAACTGCACTATACATAGCGTGTTTACGAAGCTCTGCCCAAGTGGCAGAAATCTCATGTCCGTGTTCGTCGTCCATTGTGTATTTGGTTAGGTAGCCTATGAAGGCCAAATTCTGAACAGTGGGTTATGGACTAGTGGACACAAAAGATAGATATCGGTGCAACAACAAGATGCCCCTTTTCAAACATCAACCAGCATCCCATCTCTAGACGCCGCGCGCACGACGCATATCCTGCAATCTACAAGGCTCGCACGAACCAACACCGAAGACAACTTTGGAAACTCAATGTGGTTCCTTGGCGCACGTCATGTTCCAGGCTCGACCTGCTTGAGACCAACCTCCGCAATTACCGTTGCGCCCCCGATCTTTACGTAGACCAAAAATGTCAATGCTTAATCCCGATTGACTTCTCAACGTGTCCTTGCATCTTCGCATTTTGTCTCTAGACATCTAAGCATTGTATCCGCTCGCTCTCAGTCCTCCTCTCCACACTCTCTCGCTCGGCTTATACGTGAAATACAGCATCCATAGCATTCGCACCTCATCTGCCCCAACCCTCTCATCTCAAAGTCACAAAGTAATTAGACAGCCATAATGTGTCTCATGAGAACCTACGAGACCCGAGGCCGCGGCGTCCTCGATCCTCCACCCCGACGTGGAAACTTCACCTCGCATCCCCCAGCCGGTGTGATGCGGTTACCACGCGAGTGGCGTCGGAGCGAAAGTTATAGTGATGATGGGAGAGTGGTTGAATATAGGTACGTCCGTTCCCTATCTTCCCTCTTTCAGTCTTTGTTATTGGAGAGCTGACGATTCACCTCTTCAGACGCTCTCAACCACGAGTTATTGAATACTATGAGGAGCCGAGACGGAGCACCACGCGAGCGAGGAGTGTGAGTAGGAGGCGGATTAGCGATGTCGCGTATAGAACTCCGAGAGGGAGCCATGTAGATGAGAGGGTGATCAGAAGAAGTGTTAGTCGGGTTAGACATTGAGGGCTTTTGTCCATGGATAACTGCATCAAAGGACGGTTTGCACGGATAGTACGCAATAATGGGATTGTAACGACATCAGTAATCACAGGCAACAACTACAGGCTTAGACCACAACACCCTCAAACACCCCCAACCTCAAACCCCTTCCATCCAACCATCATCTCCCGACACTGTTTCTCGTAAGCACCAATGCCCAAGATATATGTTTGATTCTCTTTCTTCTTTCCCGGGATATTGGCTGTGTTCCACCAACTATCCGTGTACGGAAACAACGTATGTTCAATCACTGCATCCATGCCTGCTTTCCACTCATCTTCTGCCTGCTTGGTTGGCTCAATCGTCGTCTTGTCTCCTTGCACTTGCATAGATTTGATGGTATCGCATACAAAGTCGCACTGGCATTCTATAATGGTTGGGCCATTCGATAAAGCCGTGGGAGCTTGCGGCGAGTATACCATGAAGGCGTTGGGAAACCCGTTGAACATCATGCCGAGGAAGGTGCGCACACCATTGCGCCAGACTTCTTTAATGTCGATGCCGTCTTTCGAGATAAGACCCATGTTGGTCAGCGAGCCAGTGAACGAGTCAAAGCCTGTGGCGCAGACTACGTAGTCGAATTCCCGGGCTTTGGATTCATTGGCGAGTTGGAGACCAGTCTCTGTGAATCTCTCGATCCCATGTTCATATAGATTTACAATCTCGACGTTGGGCTGGTTGAGCAGGTCGTAATAGTCGTGTTCGAGGGGCGTACGCTTGGTACTAAAGTAGTAGGGCATGCTATCTGGAGCCATTTGTTCTTGCTTGGCAGGATCAGTGAGTCGTTGACGGACTTTCTTCTTCCAGAAGTCGTAGATGATTTTGTTGGCCTCTTTATCGACCAAGATGTTATTGTAGTTGCGGAGCATGAACTGAAAGCCGCCGCAAACCCACACACTTTCAAGATACTTTTCTCTTTCCTCGGGGCTGACATCTTGAACGCGTACATCGCAGCCGACGCCGGGGAATCCGGCAGCGCTGTTTCGTCCGGCAGCAAACAGTGCTGGGTAATATGCTCGCCATGCGACTTGCTCTTCTTCTGTCCAGATTCGTTGGCCCATGGGAAGGCAATAAGAGGGGCGGCGCATCAGAACAGTCAAGTGTGATGCCTCTTTTGCAAGTTCCTGCACAATCTGGACGGATGTCGCGCCAGCACCAATCACGGCGACTCTTTTGCCTTTGACACTTGTCTCCTCAGGCCACTCTCCCGAATGTCGTATCACCCCTTTATACTCCTGTTGACCAGGCCAGTCTGGCAGATGCGTCTTATGCAGCAAACCAGTCGCCAATATCAACCAGCGTGCTCGTGCCATCATCCCATTTTCCGTCCGTACGACCCATTTCGCAGCCTCCTGATCCCACATACATCCAAAGACCTTGGAATCAAAGCTAACATCCTTTCGTAGTCCCAACGTCTTGTCCACGTGCGCCATGTACTTCCTCAGCTCTCGATGATCAGGAAAGCGTTGCGAGAAACTCCAAGTGTTGTATACTTCGGGTATGTTGAGTTGGTAGAATGGTGTTTCGCTGTCGACACGTGCGCCAGGATAACGATTCCAGTACCACACGCCACCAAAGTCTGAACCGGCTTCGAAGATGTGCGCTTGGAGGCCATCTTTGCGAAGACGATACAATGAGCTTATACCTGAGAAACCGGCACCGACGATGATGACATCGTATTCCTGATCGTTTTTCGTCTGACCGTTGGTTGCTGCGTCTTTGACATCCTTGGCGGGAATGGGTGCGATAGCCATGGTGAGAGATTTTACGACACCTGATGGTGGTAGTAATAAAAAGTCTAGATAAGAGCTATGGAAGATGAGACGGTCATCATCAAAGATGAGAAATCTGTTCAAGGTTGCCCGTGGTATTTTGTACTAGGATCTTCAACGAGACTCTTCAGGCACATCGAGTAGCCTCTATCGATTCGATCTCGGGTCACGGCTAATTCTTGTTAGAGAGAAGATACATTGAGCCACTCATATCAGATTTCAGACATAATGTCTGCTACAGTCTAACCATGTCCGCTACAGTCTAACCATGTCCGTACAGACGAGCAGGCCCATTGTATCTGTCGAGCCTGTTTCCATTCATTCACGCTGGACGGACACTGGATCGAGGTGGCCATGAACCAGTCATGAGAAATGGTGCTCAGCACCGACAAGATCGAAAATCTGCCTACTAGGAAGTAGGCTACCGGCACGCCTCACATGAATCATAGACAAGCTTCCACAGACATGAAAGTCTGTCATGAGAGACGTTTGTAGGGTGGGGAATCTCCACAACGTTACCGGTAAACTGCGGGGCCGCGTGTCGGAAGGAAGCCGAGGCTACCGTAACTTACCGCATGTTCTTTGGAGTCCGGACCTCGTCATGGAAGAGGCTGATGCAACCATTCATGCGTCCACCCACCATTGTCGCTGTTGAATAAGGCGAGGATGGCATTCGCGGGAACTGCTCTTCTCTCAAGCTCGCGCACCGGTATGACAAGCTGTTGACTTCACCTGTGGTGCGTTTACCGGTAACCTATGCAATTTTATAGCTTACTCATCAGGCTCATTAGGTATGCTGCTTGTAATTCCTACCAATATAACATCATGTATTAACCAGTGCTTAAGCAAGGAACTAGTCTTTCTTCCCATTCTCCATGTCTCTGAGCGAGATATCCGTACTTTCCCAGTACTTGCTTAAATCTCCCACAGGCAAAGCGACACTCCACCGCATCTCTGCGGCCATGATCACAATAAGCATGTACCAACCAAGCAGACCACAGATGAAAAGGCAAGCACCACCAGCCTAGAAATGGTCAGTCCTCTTGATTAATTCACGTATTTCTTTGATTATTACCTTCTGCAACCGTGAAGCCTTCTCGAAGTCTCCATTGCTGACTGCCCAATAGGCTCCACTTAGAACCCAGGCGCCCACAGTGACAAGCAAAAAGATGACCGAAAGTACCGCGTTGATGCGGATCGAGAAAATGAAGAATGTGAGCAGGATAAAACCCCACACTATGAGGTATAGGGCGATAGCCGCATTCATCTCTTTCGACGCAGCACCTTCTGCTGCATTTCCAGTGCTAGAGTAAGCGGTTGCGAGCTCGAGAGTTGGCAATTGCAGCATGCCAAAAGACAGCCAGAACACTGTAAATAGCCCACAAACTAACATGTTGTAGAACTGCCCCTGGATCCAAAGGAATATGGTTGAGAGACCAAGCAGTACTGGGCCTGTGAAGAAAAAGATACCTCTGAACACTGTTAATATGCGGAATGACATGTTGACCACCTGTCAAAAGCTTACGCCACGGCTTGCGCTCCATTTGCGCCGCCCCAACCCATTAATATCATGGAAAAAGTCATGGTTGCGAGCACGAATCTGCCAGAACTTTAGCATGCTAACATGGATTGTGGATCGCAGTCACAAATTACATACCCGAGAAACCCCAATGCACCAGCGTTCGCATACTTCGCAGCATTGTCTGTGGCATGTGGGGTCTTTGGTCCCAAGTACAATTTTTCAAACAACTCTGGACTAATAGATATGTTTGTCGATGTAGGTGCCATGTGAGGCTCCTTGGATATTCCATCCGAGTCTGTACGATGGAGACCTGGCTGCTGTGATGTAATGGATTGGGACATTGTCGAGGAGGAGATGACAAAGTAGACCAAATGCGCATCTTCCCAATGATTCTACGATCGATTTATACTGTCCCACCAAGACGGCGCATCCCCGGTCTCTTCACTTGGCCGGCGGTGTGGGACAACAGGTGGGGGTGATCTGAGACTCTGAGTGACGGGTTCCGAGGTCTGAAGCACGGCCAGAAGCACGCTATCGCAGTGGTCGGGTGAAGTCAATCATGATGTGGGCACAGAAGATGGCAAGTCGCCACGGTCCTAATTGCTGTATTTCGATAGTCTCCGTGTCCATCTCGGTCAACAATGGCTAACAACGTCCAGTAAGGTTAACTCGATAACGGCAAGGAACACGTTTCGGTCTACAAAGGTGATGATCGCGTTCAAGATGGTCCGTTGCCGTCTCCGTGGCTTCCGTGCCTTGCGCCGCCCGCAATTTGGCAATAGGAGCTGATTGGTCCATGGTTCTTCGTCGGTGTCTTGTGCGGGGACACACTCTGGGCTATCAGCACTACAACACATGAGACATTAAGAATATAGAGGGGGTTTTATGTTTGGATCCTTGGTTAGGTGTGCATGGGACAATCGAATTGGGTTGGTGTTTTTTAAAAAGGTGTTCAAGATATATGTAATCAGAAACGATCAAGTCATTAACGGACCATGCCTATGGTACCGGTAACCTAAGCAAGCGAGTGTCAGAGAACATAAACGAGTGACTACCACAACACAGTTCAGTGGCTCAGGCCCAAGAGGCTTCAGAGTTCGTTATTACACCGAAGGTCAGTTCAACCCTGGATAGACCCTGGAATAATTAAGCTTAACACGGGTGAAAGCTGCTCAGTCAAGGGTAAAGACCTCGGTCATACGGTGCGTACTGAAGGCGGAAAATTCTAACGCTTTCTCAGGCCAGAGTCGCCCTGCTGGCAGATTTCTGTGTTCTTCACTGACCAGTTGTCATAGCTAGTATTTTATGCCTGAACTAGTCGTAGATAGAGTGATGTGCAATTCGCGCTCCAAGATTTGGACGTTGAATACCATGCTGATGGGAATCAGCTTTGACGATCAGGCTATTTCTCTCAACTATACAGCCACTAGTCACTTAAAATAGGCATGTCAGTAGATCAACCAAGTCCCGGGATTGTCAATGGGGTATCCGAGAACCAGCCATCAGCTAGGGGTAAGCTGTACAATATCCCGACGGAGCGGATTCGTGAAGTGCAATTGACTGAACATTTGCTACTTCGAATGTACTAATTATGAATGCATCATGTCCATGAAGGTGGTTCAGATGGGCGACAGGGATAGTCTGTTAGATGATCCGATAGATCGACTCTCTCGGGTCAGAGCAAAGACGAGGGGAAATATCGATATGCCTACTGACCGTTTAAGCAGAGGTAGATGGTACCTCGGTGACACGGTAAGATGACGAAGATTACTGTTCTTCTGTGCCAGGACTTGATAGTTGGGTTGCCGGGGGCGGCAGTCATAGAAGTACTGTTCACAGTTCATAGAACAGTATTGCCTCTAGTAATGATGGGGCTAGGAGCAAATTGAAGGCTCTCGGCTTTCCTATCCAAGGTGTTACTTAAGAGATTCTTCGCAATATAATGGATAGTCAATGGATCAAGACAGCCCACAGGCATAAACGGAGGCGCAGTTGAAGTCGGATCTGCGACAGTCGGACCTGAGTATGTGATTACGGCGTGTCCTTCACCAGCATTCTGTGATTAATAGCCTATGTCTGCTTCAGCGCGGAACCATTAGATACCGGCGGCTTAGTTGGCAGTGAAGACGACGTCGAGTTGCTCGCCAATGCCAATTTGGATGTAGCTGGTAATGTTGGGAACAAGTGGTACAAAGTCTGTTCCGATTACCGAAAACGGATGATTGTCTAGATGCACGCGAAGGTCGCTGTCGACTGAAGTGTTGATAAGCTGAAGGCGGTATGTGATTCCTGCTTGAATTGTCAACTTGTAAGCGTCATCTCCGGACCCGTTCTCAGCTGTCCTATATTTCAAGACGTTGTCTGATGCGGGTGGACCCGCGCTATTCTGGCCAATTTGAAATGCTCTAGCATCATTTTGATATGTGATAAGTTAGTACAGTCCCTTTTTGGAAAGACTTTCAAATCTACGTCGTAATTGGCAGTGGCGGGACCGTTAATCTGCATAGTACCAACAACGCCATATCCATACTAATGTGAGAAATGATCATGACGGCAATATGTACCTTACTCGGTCCCCTGAAACTGACACGTTTCCATGTCACCAGCGGCTAAAGCAAATTCAGTAATACCATTAGGTTCATCCTGCAGGGTTACATTCAGTACATGGAAGCATGCCAATGGATAAAAGCCCCATTAAATGTAGGATTTTGTAACTGCCACATGCTGCGAAGTTTAGAGTCAAATGAATTTGAGGCCGAAATCGCTTACTTACGATAGTATCGCCCGATGTTGCAACGCTTGTGGGGCCTTGGGTACAGTCATTGATCATCATACACACTCAAGATTCTGCACAGTCTAGGTCGCAAGTGGCGTTAGAGGGGACTTCGTAGTAGCGTTCAAAAAAATTCAAATATCAATGTGTAAAAATTGTAATGATCATCAAATGAGCACCGGCAAATCCGCGTATACTGAGTAGCTGCTCTGAGTTATACAAGGTGATATGAGACAACATTTCTACTTCTCTGGGGCATGCTTGTGAGAGTCTTGCTGCTGCAGCTCAAGTTTGGGTATTTTGATTGGTGACCCACATTCCGCCTTCGTGCATCTGGTATTGAGTTCATTCATCCACCGTTGTGGGGGCGTAGAATCTGAATCTGAATCGAGCATCTTGGCAAGTTGTTGCTGCATTCATATTTGTCTTTCATCGTCCTTGAGTCAGGATCACGAGTCCGTAGCGTCGATGTGCGGAGTAGGTGGTGAAGCGGCATGTGTAATGACATGAGCAACCCGACGGCGAAGTATGTACAGATAGTGCATCGTCTCATCAGAACCTTCAAATGGAAACAGTCAATATCTAGTTTTAAATATTTTTAGTATACTTAAGCTAGCAGGATCAAGGCTAACATGAAGCTGACGAAGCCTGAAAGACGGGGCCAGACTTTTTGATTCGAACCTAGAAGAATAGGTACAGCTCAGCAGGAAAAAGGAGCACGAAACGCCGCAACTTTCTGACTGGAAAGCTGCATATAGCAGTGCCCCATGGAACTCTTCCGAGCCAGCTTTCAGTAATCATTGACCTCCGGGCGAGGCCGCCGGTTTAGCATCAAAGCGACAACATACAGCATCATATTGCAATGGGCAAAGCCCGCAGTAATTATTTATATCACTGTCCAATCGTATACTATGTTCTTATGCTATTTTTGAAGCGCGAGTACGAGTATTGTAGAGTGCGTACCTAAAAACTTTAGTTGGTCTGCGCTGAAATAGTAATGGCATTATGGCAGGAACGGACTTCGATGTTCATACACAGTAATGCTAGAACTCGATTGTGAAGTTACGGCACTTGATTTGGTGTTGATTACTATATAGTCTACAGCCGCTACATAGTCCCACAAAGACCTATTGGGCGGTAAAAAGGTATGCGCGGCCAAGGGGATGGGAATTTGGGGAGCGACGTGGACCGAGCTTTGACGAAGTCCGTAATTCTAGCCCAAGACCTGAGTATGGTACCTACTATAGGTAGGGTGTGATTCTTACGTACAGTTGCTTCAGAGCTAAATTACGGTAAGGGGCAATCAATGACCGGTAGGTGGCGCACTCACGTAGATATCCGACTAGAGTGAATCTACATGCATAGCATCTGCCATCATCTCAATTTCTTGTGCAATTGTTCTTAAACTCCAGGGTTGAGCAGAAGATTAAACTTCTGATTATGCTCATCTTGTTTCATATGTTTCGGTCGGTGGTTATGCTCAGATTCTTGTTGTCAGCCAAGCGCTCGCTCACGTTTGACGCTGTCAGTAGCTGTTATTCTACTTCATCTGTTTAGAATATCATAGGAATCCTACCACACACAAGTTTCAGGGAAGTTCTCTCTTATATCTACAATTGATTGCTATCGCGCTTCAGCAAACAGGAGAGCCTTCATCACTTCGAACCAACAGCAGTTCAAGGAGAACGAGGAAAGTATCTAAGTATCGTCGCGCTTGTAATTGGCGAGTCAGCATGCCACTGCCAATACCAGCGCCTCGCGTTCCACCCTGTCTCAGCTTGTCTCGGGCGATTTCTATGGAGGTTATGTCACTGTCTATGAACATAATGATACCATGGTACATGGTAAATGCTAAGGTGGCTGGTCGGAATATGTTGCCGAATGTCCTGTACGGCTTACCGCATTGGGCGAGTGATCAACACTGCCAATGTCCCCTACGCCAGCCGCCAAGTTCGCGACGCCCTCATCGTTCTTGTCAAGAACGACAAGGCACAAGCACTGCAACATTCCGCGAGCGGCCACGTCAAGTACAGACAGACAGTGGTCAGTTTCCCTACGTACACAGTGAAGTCTGACATGAGTAGTATCAGGTAGTTGAACGATTGATCATATCATGTTAATTGTTCAGGGCTTGTGAATTGTGTATTTTAGAAAAACTGCTGGATTGTGCGTAAAGGTACATTCTTTTATCTTGTAATTATCAGCCTATTGAGAGACTTCTCAGCAGCTCACGGATTGTTGCAGGGCCGTATTCTGCGTCGATTTGGCGACGACACGCGGGTCATTAAGATCTGGAAACAATTCGCTTCTTGGCCGCCATAGACCACACACTGCGTTCCCGCCAAGGGGTGGTTGAGCTCCGCCCAGCCAGGCCAACATATGTTGGTGTCCACTATGACATCGTCCCAGCATTACTTCCACTGTAAATTGTCGATGGCCTCCTCGGTACTGTCACTCTGTTGCCTTGAATTGATATGGGGTTGCATGTGCCAATACGATCGGTAGTGTGGAGAATCCCATGGGGAGCTCCATTCTGGCTTACGACCAGAAGTGCCCTCGAGAAAAAAGTGGACTGGAAGCCGCGGGCCACAGCTGTCAGTGTATATAACAAGTCCTGCCATAGTCCGTTGTCAACTCTTCGAACGCTCCACTTCTGCGTAAACTTGTTTCAGACTGCTTTTGCAATTCTTGCATTCGCTGATCATGTCTCGACGAAAGTCCGATATCGAGACAACCGAGCCGGGGCTGTCATCCTCTAGTAGCAGCAGTAAGACTGGCCTTGGTACAACACGGCACCACGAAAATGCAAGCCACTTTGCCTCGCAACCCCGACAAGCATCTGTCGCTGCGAAGCTTCGCAACCCCCTAGCAGGACTGAGTGAGAACGATGTCATTGCAGATGTTGATGCTTGGTGTACGGAGAAAGGTCTATCAGAACACCAAGATGCGTTTCGAAAAGGTGCCCTGATTGCTCGCGTGGGCCAAAGAGAGGATGGATTCGAATATGTGAATCAATTAAATCCCGAAGAGAAAGATATTCTGCGTCACGAAACTACCCACCGTTGGTCTCAGCCTTTTCAGCTCTACTTTCTCGTCGTACTTTGCGCAGGATCAGCTATCGTCCAAGGCATGGACCAGACAGCTGTGAATGGTGCCCAGGTGAGTTTTTCATCTAAGCTTGTCATCTAGCACAGGATCCTGCTATTTCCTTGATCTTGGAAGCTAGCCGCGGATCTGATGAGGCTTGTGCCTTCCAGATTTCTGATGGCTATGCCCTTACCAGCCAGCATTCACGTCGCATAACATGCTGATCGTCTCTAGCTTTTCTACTTCGAAGAGTTCAACATCGGCGAAGACCAGGTATGGCTTAGAGGTCTACTCAACGGTGCACCGTAAGAAGTTCACAGCAGTATTGAAGATGCAAAAACTAATCCTACTCATAGGTATCTCTGTTCTTGTCTCATCGGGTGCTGGTCCAATGCACCACTGAACAAATATTTTGGCCGCAGAGGGACCATATTCATATCTTGTATCATATCTTTCATCACTGGTATCTGGATGGCGGCTGCCAACAACTGGCCCAACCTTCTCGTCGCCCGGTTCTTCCTTGGGTTTGCCGTTGGCGCAAAGTCCTCCACTACCCCTGTCTACGCAGCAGAGTCAGCACCCAAGAATATACGTGGTGCGCTAACAATGATGTGGCAGACGTTTACAGCTTTGGGGATACTTTTTGGTTTCATCGTTTCTGTCGCCTTTCAAGATCTAACCTTCTTGGGAAGATTGTCACCCTGGAGATGGATGCTGGCTAGTACCAGTATTCCTCCGCTCATTGTTTGTGTGCAGGTATACTTCTGCCCAGAATCGCCGCGTTGGTAAGTTTTCAAAAGCCCTTGCAATCTCTGCTCGGCGCTGATCATGTCTGTAGGTACATGGAGAAGGGCAAATTCGACCGGGCATACCATTCTTTGTGCCGCCTACGCAAGCATAAAGTCCAGGCGGCACGAGACATGTACTATGCATACAAGCTTCTGGAAGTGGAACAAGCCGAACGTGAAGGCAGGAATGCGTGGAGAGAATTCTTCCTCGTTCGACGTAATCGTCGTGCGGCACAAAGTGCATTTTTCGTGATGGTAAGCAACTCGGAATCCTGGATGCGTATGTACCTAGACTTCGCTAATGAATGAATAGTTCATGCAACAATTTTGCGGGTACTCTCGCCATTTGTCAAGACCCTGGACTCCACTGACAATTGCTAGGGTCAATGTTATCGCCTACTACAGTTCGTCTATCTTTGAGGAAGCTGGATTTTCACGTTCGGAAGCTCTACTCACATCTATGGGCACTGGAATTATCAACTTCCTATTCGCCATCCCGTGAGTCTCGATCATCGCTTCCACCTTCACTCCTCGTAAAAGTGCTAACTTGGCTTGACTAGGGCAATTTACACTATCGACACGTTCGGACGACGGAACCTACTTCTGACAACGTTCCCGCTCATGGGCATCTGTCTCCTGTGGTGTGGCATGTCGTTCTTCCTTCCCCTCGATCCCGAGACTGGTCGGCCATCAATTGAGCGACTTTCATCGATAGCCGCAGCTATTTATACATTCATGGCGGTCTATTCGCCAGGAGAAGGCCCCGTGCCGTTCACATACTCAGCAGAGGCCTTCCCATTGCACCTCCGCGATGTAGGAATGTCGTTCGCGACAGCCACTTGTTGGGGCTTCAACTTCATTCTCTCGCTGACATGGCCTGCTCTGGTCGCCGCGTTTACGCCACAGGGTGCATTCGGATGGTACGCCGCGTGGAACTTCTTCGGCTGGATTTACACCTATTTCTTCCTGCCTGAGACCAAGGCTCTGACACTAGAAGAGCTAGACACTGTCTTTGACGTTGGGAATCACGAGTTCTGCGGATATTACCGCAAGAAGCTACCATGGTATCTCAAGAAGCATATTCTGAGACAGGATGTCGAGCCCATGGAGCCATTATTTGAGTTTCACGATGAAGGCCCATACTCGCAGTATACTGCTGAGCCAGTGAACGTTGGCGTTGTCAGCGGGACTGGGGGGGTACATCAGAGTGAGAAGAACAAAAGTATGAATGTGTAGGTCTTGCAGGATTATATGCGATCTGAAGTGGCTTACTTCGCCATTGCATCGCTTTGCCTGAGATGTAGCTTCAATTCGTAGTTGTTGCTAGCTAATCCTCTACGTCCATGTCATATATCTTCACCTAGAGATATATGCAATATGTATATCTACTGAGATGTTGGATTCATCGGTATGAGGACATCTCTGCAGCACTGGAAAAGATAGCATCACCAAAGTAGCTACTTCGTTACATGCCACAGTAATGTTGAGATGGCATAAAAGATACTCTTTCTGCCCCGTACTGTGTATATGGTGCACCCTTAAGATCCTCAGATATTGTGCTAGCTTATTTCGGTTGGAAAAAAAAGACTTGATGCATCTCCACGGTGATGAATGTCTGCGACGTCAGGCTAGCTCCCACGCAGCCAGACCCACCTGCGGTTACGGTAATGTTAGGGTACGGTACCGGTAACTTTGTTAGACCGCAGCCCAACGTCTCCACCTACACCCTTCCAACAACAAACGATGCTTGAAATCGCCTGTTTCAATTTACCCTCAGTCTACGCAGCAGCCAAGGCAGGAGCCGACCAAATCGAGCTGTGTGCGAACTACAAAGCTGGCGGCATCACGCCTCCCAACCAATGGGGTACTGAACTCTCTCTAAAGTCACCTGGCGTACCTGTCAAAGTCATGATTCGACCACGAGGAGGCGACTTCAACTACACCGGCGAAGAATTCGAGCAAATGAAGACTAGCATCTCTGAATGGAAGCGCTATCGTGTCACGGGGTTTGTTTTTGGAGTTTTGGACGCAAATCAACGATTTGACGAGGTGCGCAATCGCGAATTGGTCGAGCTTGCGATGCCGTTTCCCTGTACATTCCACCGTGCCATCGATGCGATTTACGCTTGGGAATCGGCTGCCAATTCCATGGTCAGATGTGGATTCAAGAGCATACTATGTGGTAGCGGTGAGGACGGTGCTAACAAGGCGTCGACGCTGCAAAGCAGATACGGCAGGGATATCATGGTCCTTTATGGCGGAGGAGTGCGAAGTTCAAATATTGAAGAATCTAGGAGAGAAACTAAAGTTGATTGGATGCATTCTTCGGGCATCACGCAACCTGGCGAGGATGTGGATGTTGATGAAGTTGGGAAGATGAAGAGCATACTGACACATTTGAGTCAAGAATTAGCGGGAGGATGATTGTACCAAATTATTCATTAGGCGCAGCCTGTTGAGCCGGCATGCTACATTGGTTTTCATCTTGCATCCACGAGGGTATTATCCCAGCCAAAAAAAATCTCATAACGCCAAAACAAAAGACTAGCAAAGCGCCATCAAGAACCACACGAAGGACTTGGCAGAACTAATGAAAATTTATTCTCTTCACAATGCGTACAGCGCGTACATGAGAGCACCAAAAACAGGCATGCCGACCGACAGAGTTGAGCCGACAGTCAACTGACCGGCAGCTGCAGTGCTCGTGGTGGTTGACTCAGGGACGGTAGTCTGAGTGACAAGAGTTGTTTGCGGCGCGATTGTTGTAGCGTGGGAGATGGTGGTGGCAGCAACTGTAGTCGACACTGCCACGCCGCTGACGGTAGCTGCTCTTACCGTCTCGGCAAGGGTAGTCGGCGCGGTATAGGTTGTTCCAGGAATGGTGGTAGTGTACACGATGATGCTTCCAAGTTCAGTTGCGGGGATGGCGTCACCAACGCCTGTGCCAGTGAATTGAGGGGGAATAGACATGGTAGCTGTGTTTGGCCTCGCGGAAGGGTCGTTTGCGTAGATGTTGCCATTTTCATTTCCGTTGGTGTAGTTACCGCTGATCAGGTTTGCGGTGGCTTTCCCAGAGTTGTACTCTCCTGTAGTCAAGGAACCGAAAGAGCCATCAGGAAAGGCGTAGTTTGTAGTAAACTTATCATAACACATGGCAATGTTGAGATTTTGCACGCTGAGGCAATCAAGACTCTGGCGGCAGCAAAACCCTCCTTCGGACCGTGCTTGTACAGATCGCTTTTTGAAATTGATGTCCCTGACAGAACTGAGGACGTCCACGTAGAGTGAGCTAAGAGCGGAGCCCACAGTGGGTGGCGTTGTGCCTGTTGCTCCCTGAGGTTGACATGGCTCACAGGGGTCGTTATTGGTAGCCTTGGAAGGTAAGTCGAGGGGCGATGCGTATGCGACAGTAGCTATGGCGAGGACGAGGAACTTGAGTGACATGTTAGATGGTGTTGCTTGGCGGTCCAAGCATGTATCAGGGTAAGTTAGGTGAATAGAGCTCAAGAGGAGAGTTCCCAAGAACCGGTGCCGTACGAGTACATGAAATAGGTAGGAGGCATATCCGAGACTATATAACGTCGGAGTCTTGGAACGGCGAACAGACGACCTAACCTACCCTACCTAGGGCACCACGAGGCTTACCTAGGTACCATATTAGCGATATGCTAACTTAGGTATCCCATCTATATCAACATCCAATACCGTACTGGAGAGCGATCTTTTCCTAGCCGTCCAGGGTGGATGGGACCTTCTGCATTCAGCCAGAATCCTTGTCGTTGTCGTTGGGCAAGATTTCGTCTGCCGTCCAGGTTCTACTCGAAGGAGACACAGCCTGGTCTTCACCATGTCTAGGTACCTAACTCTACCATGTCTTCATGTGCACAACACCATGACTATTCCCAACACCACAACTATTCCCAACTCTTTCGAAGCATTTCCCAAGGCCCATGCACAAAGTCCAAAGTTTTCGAACTCATGATCAACCACAACGCATGTTTGGTCTGGGCATTTCTCCCACTTCGGCCAACCCAAATGCAAAAAAAAAAGAGTTCAACAGAATACCGTACCGGTAAGAGGAGGGTGCAGCCCCGCCGCCGCCATGCCGGGCGCCCCGAGCGCACTCTCAACAGTGATTTTCTATGCCGGACACGCGACCAGACGACAGGCCACCCGCATCAATTGAGACCATGGCCAAACTCTAGCTACGCTAATGACCATGAGAGCCGTTAGCCTCTGGAGTAGGTAGGTGTTGTCATTTCGCTTCGAGGTCGATGCACCATGGCGACATGGCCACGGGGATGAAGAGTGGGCCTATATACTCTATCGCTCGGTCGGATGGTGATGAAGAGATGATGCCTATCTGTCAGCATCTTTTGTGCTTGCCTACATTGCTTTCACCTTGCATTGCGCAAAAGTCAGTTACCATAGTGGATGCCCTGGTATTCTGCTTCGAGAAGAAAGATCGGAACAGGGACAAGTCGTGAGGAGGCTAATTTTAGATTGCCAACGAGTCATACCGGTACCGGTACGGTACCTCTAGAAATTCATCGTCGAGCAGAAAACACCAACTAAGCAAGCGTACCCATACCTACGCGATTGATGAAGACAATATCGTAATGGCCACTTTGTGAATCCAAGATATCTCCGAGATACTCCCTATGTACCGGTAGACGTCCACCACTTGGACAGAGTCTGTCGAAGAACCATCAAGAAGAGGCACAAGTTGGTAGATGTTGCCTGGACTTGTATTGCCTGGACATGATCCTTTTGTACTGGATGCATCTTTGGACCACTTTTCCTTCAACCTGCCTGCAGGTACTTGTTCGTTGCTACAGGTATCCAATTCATTGGGCAGCATGCACGGCCTCAAGAGCCGTGTGAAGTACAATTATAGCATGTCCATAGAGGCTAGGCTAATGCTACCTACTCTGGACTGCGTACTGCAGTGTTGAGTTGACAGAGTATGCTCGAGTAGGTGCTTTAGCTATCGGTAGTACAGAAACAGAGTGTAGTAGTAGTACCACACTCTACTACTATTACCGGTATAAGCAAGCCATGGTCGCTCGGCAAAAAGATGCAGGGCTTGTCCAAGTCGGGAGTCCAAGACCAGGAACACGCTTGGGCCAACTGCCACTCCCACTCCCACTTCACTGTCGCTGCCTCTCCCACCGTTCCCATCACCACCACCTCCACCACTGTCTGTCTAGGTATAAGGCATATCGCGATAGCTACTCGCGCCTAGAGCTTTCGTCAGACAGGCGGTCGGCTGGATATTGTTGCTGTTTGCCGCGCCCAGAAAAGCACTGCCCTTCTTTATGCTGTTTGGCCGAGCTTCTCTCGCCGCCGTCGCCGCCGCTGCCTGCAAAAGATCTTTCTGTGCGACACCTTCACGCACACCTCTGCACCTGTCCGCCCCTCGGTCGCTCCTTCACCCTGCCAAGTGCCTCGCTTCGCGACTGTCTGCTAGCAACTCACTTCGCAAACGCGCATCTACTCTATCCTCCACCCTTTCTTTGCCGATGGAACAGAATGGCACAACCAAGCGCAAGCAACCGCCAACCTCGCCTGTAACCGACCGTCCGACCAAGCAGGTCCGACCCGAATCATCTGATCATACCCTCAACGGTGCATTGGCATCGCCCAAATCCGACGACGCCATGGACGACGATGCGCATAGCGACTACAGCGCCCTCGAGAACATGTCCGGCCCCGGCCATGTGGCCCTCTCAGGACAAGACACAGCCGAATGGCAAAAGACGATAGAAAGTGTTGTCAAGAGTGTCGTTTCAATACACTTCTGCCAGACCTGTTCTTTCGATACCGATCCTGCCATATCGAGTGAGGCTACTGGCTTCGTCGTCGACGCCGAAAAGGGTTACATCCTTACCAACCGCCACGTTGTCGGCGCGGGCCCCTTCATTGGGTACTGCATCTTTGACAACCACGAGGAGTGCGACGTTTATCCTGTTTACCGAGATCCCGTTCACGACTTCGGTATCCTGCGATTTGACCCTACCAAGATCAAGTACATGCCCGTCACCGCCTTGCAATTAAGGCCCGATAACGCCAAGGTCGGAGTGGAGATCCGAGTGGTTGGCAACGATGCTGGAGAGAAGCTCAGTATTTTGTCAGGAGTCATAAGTCGGCTGGATCGGAACGCTCCAGAGTACGGCGAAGGATATTCCGACTTCAATACCAATTACATCCAGGCCGCCGCCGCCGCGAGTGGCGGCTCTTCTGGTAGTCCCGTTGTAGACAGACATGGATATGCCGTCGCGTTGCAGGCTGGTGGACGCGCTGATGGTGCTGCGACCGATTACTTCCTACCACTCGACCGACCATTGCGTGCACTGGAGCTTATTCGCCAGGGTCAATCGGTATCCAGAGGCACAATACAGACGCAGTGGATCCTGAAGCCATTTGACGAATGTCGTAGGCTCGGCCTAACGCCTGACCTGGAAAAGGCGATTCGAACACAGTTCCCAAAAGAGACGGGCATGTTGGTTGCTGAAGTTGTCCTTCCCAAAGGCCCCGCGTCTACAAAGGTGGAAGAAGGCGATCTCCTGACCAAAGTCAATGGAGAGTTCCTCACACAGTTTGTTCGCCTCGACGCAATATTAGACGATCACGTGGGCAAGACCATCTCCGTGACGATACAGCGCGCGGGAGAAAACATGGATGTCGAACTCGATGTTGGTAACCTCCACGACATTACACCTGACAAGTTCGTCTCGGTAGCAGGGGCTTCTTTCCATGATCTCTCCTATCAGCAAGCACGGTTGTATGCAATCTCCTTGAAAGACTCGGGCGTCTATGTTTGCGAAGCAGCTGGTTCCTTCCGTTTCGCGGATGGCTATGCATCGGGGTGGTTGATCCAAGAAGTAGACAATCAGCCAACTCCGAATCTGGATGCATTCATCGAAGTCATGAAGAAGATTCCTGACCGCAAGCGAGTGGTGATGATGTACAAGCACTTGCGCGACCTTCACACTGCTAACACCAGCATCACTGCCATCGACAGGCATTGGCACGCTAAAATCCGGGTAGCCACACGCAATGACACCACAGGATTGTGGGATTTCAAGCCAATTGCAGATGCCATTCCAGCTGTGCCTCCAGTCCCACGCCGTGCGAACTTCATCAAGATGAGCTCCCAGTACCCAGAGGCCGTGGACATTGTGCGCAGTTTCGTAAGAGTGCATGTCAACATGCCAATCAAGCTTGATGGCTTCCCAAAGATGAACAAGCAAGGCTATGGTCTTGTTGTGGATGCTGAGCAAGGCCTTGTCCTTGTCTCAAGAGCAATTCTGCCTTATGACCTATGCGACATCTCCTTGATCATTGCCGACAGCATCTTCGTCGACGCCCACGTCGTCTTCATGCACCCATTGCAGAATTATGCAATTGTCAAGTACGATCCCTCACTAGTGAACGCGCCAGTCAAGACGCCCAAGTTCGCGACTGAGTTTATCAAGAAGGGTGAGGAGACTATATTTTTCGGTCTCAATCAGAACTTTAGACCTGTTGTAGCCAAGACTGTCGTAACAGACATTACTACAGTTGCTATCCCGGCCAGTGCCATCACACCACGGTACCGAGCGACCAACTTCGATGCCATCACCGTGGACACCAACCAGGCATCCCATAGTGGCTCTGGTGTGCTTATTGCAGAGGACGGCACTGTGCAGGCACTCTGGTTGTCGTACCTTGGCGAGCGGACGTCTCACAGCGGTAAGGACGTAGAGTACCACCTGGGTCTTGCGACGCCGAACCTGCTGCCCGTCCTCGACGAGATCAAGAGCGGAAAGACGCCGAAGCTGCGGATATTGAATGTTGAGTTCCAAACTGTGCAAATGTCTCAAGCGCGTGTGATGGGCGTCTCCGAGGCATGGATTGAAAAGACGGAAATAGCGGATCCTGAGCGCCACCAACTCTTCATGGTACGAAAAGTCGATTCTGGTCATGGAGAGGGTCTAAATGAAGGCGATGTCCTCTTGACACTCAATGGCAAGCTCGTCACACGTTCGCCAGATCTCGACGTCATGTATAGCAACGACTTCCTTGAAGCGGTTGTAGTACGCAAGCGAGAGGAAAAGACGATCAAGGTGTCTACTGTCGCGACAGAAGACCTCGAGACGGACCGTATGATTAGCTTCTGTGGTGCCACAGTTCACCGCCCGCATCAAGCTGTTCGCCAACAAATCAGCAAGATACATTCTGATGTATATATTTCCTCGCGTGCGCGTGGCTCACCAGCGTACATGTATGGGGTAAGTACTTTCTCATCACTCCGATTTCACCAGTCCACTTAGGCTAACAATATGCTTAGCTTGCACCGACAAACTTTGTCACACACGTCAACAACACGCCGACTCCTGACCTTGATACGTTCCTTCAGGAGGTGAAGAAGATTGGGGACAAGGAGTACTTCCGACTGAAGGTCATTACTTTCGACAACGTACCATGGGTGGCGACGTTGAAGAAGAACGAGCATTACTTTCCCACCATCGAGTATCGAAAGGATGCCTCTGAGCCACTCGGCTGGAAGAAGATCATCCACGAGTGCGAAGATGGTGGCGCGCGTGAAGAACTAGGACCAGACGAAATAGAGGTCGAGGCCAGCGAGGAGTAAATAGTAGCCTCTCGCGACTTTTGACAGAGTAAACGAAGAAGTGCAAATATATCTGGGGCAATGTATTACAATAATAGTCCTTGGTCCTCGAGCAACCCTCTCAAGCTTGAAGAGAGCCAAGGGGGATGCAGTACAGTACACGTACTCTCGAGATAGACAAACCAGTCACGAGACGAAATTAGATATTTCATGATCAGCCTCGAAGATGGAAATACCGTATAGCAATATGCAGAAAGAACAATAGTCAGGACGTCAGTTATGGATGCGAGTCGTGACTTGAGTGCGGATGGCTGGCTGGCTGACTAAGGCGGCGTTTGCGCAGGTGAGTGAGGGCTGAGCAAGGGCCCGGGGCCGGGGGTTCGTCGGGTCCGGCTAGCGGGCTTGGCGAGCCCGGCCTTCTTTATCAGCCAGGCCAGGCTTCCTTCCCTCCTCTTCCATTACCATTTACTGCTTGCTTTGACTTCTCAACACAGCCCACCACATTTTGCTACACCGCCACGACACTTTATTATCAACACCTGTGCGCCACACAGACTGCTCGCACAAGTGTCATCGCATTGCAAGACACAAGCTGAACGTTTGCACTCACTGTAGTAGGCGTAACGATTGCGACGACTTTCTTTCCTCTCTGTTAACGCGCGCGACGCTGGTCGCCGCCTACTGTTATATATAGAGCAATAAAGTTGTTGCGCTTGCACTTTCCTCTCACTCACTTCACAAAAAATGCCGTCTTCAGTGTTCTACAAGTTCAAGAACTCAAAAGAGCCCGAACTCATCTTCTTCGAGGGCACCAGCATCAGCGTCTTCGAGTTGAAGCGCGAAATTATCACCGCCTCCGGTCTCGGCGATGGCACCGACTTCAACCTCCACATCTATCCGGAGCACGACATGAATAGCGAGTACAAGGACGATACCACCCTCATCCCTCGATCCGACACAGTCATCGCTGTCCGCCGGCCGGCTCCCCGTGGCCGCGGCCGTGCCGCTCGTTATGTGACAGGAAGAGCGCCTGTACGCGCAATCACGAAAGAGACGAAGCCCGCACCGAGTGCACCCGGCGGTGGCGCTGAGTTGACCGAGACAGACGCCGAAGCTGCCTTCCTAGCCGAGTCCGCTTCGGTCTGGGATGCACAAAAGGAAGCACTGTCGCACGCGAAACCTGTATTCCACAAGAAGAAAGCAGTTGTGGTACCGAATCACGACCCACCACCTGGCTACGTTTGCCGTCGCTGTAACATCAAGGGTCACTGGATCCAAGCATGTCCGACAAACGATGACCCGGACTTCAAGCCTGTGTTCCAGGCCAAGCGCACAACGGGAATCCCCCAATCTTTCCTCAAGAAGGTTGAGAAGCCCATAGATGAGGAGGCAGCAAAGGGTGTGATGCTGAACGCGGATGGTGAATACGTCCAGGTGATGGCGGACACAAAGACATGGGAGAAATTTCAGGAAAAGGTCAATGCCACCAAGGCACAAGCTGCTAGCGCAGACGCGGCTAGCGAGGAAGTTCGTCAGCGTGGACTAGAGTGCTCGATCGACAAGCGGATGTTTGTCGATCCAGTCAAAACCCCATGTTGTAGTAAGACGTACTGCCGAGAGTGCATCGACAACGCACTGGCAGATGGAGATTTGATTTGTCCGAATTGTGCACAGGAGGATGTTCTTATGGATGATCTTGTTCCTGATGAGGACATGGTGAAGTCTATCAAGGCGTTCGAAGCTGAAAGGGCCAAGGCAAAGTTGGACAAGGAGGAAAAGGCCAAGGCAGAAGTCCAAGCGGCGGCAGCAGCAGCAGTTGAATCAGCATCGTCGACCAACAATGAACATGAGAATTCTGCCCCCCAGACTGCTACTGACGTGCCCATACTCTCTGTTGCAGAAGCGGCGAAAACGTCGTGTACCAGTCCAGGCCCAGGTGGGCCTGGTAATGGCTCGGACACTGAGTCGACCAGTTCCAAGAAGCGCAAATCACCACCTACAGAGATTCAGCCACCGTCGGCGCCCAAGGCGATGCGGCAGCAGAAAGAGCAAGAAGCACGACAAGCTTCAAACCCGGCGGCGCAAATGGAGCAGGAATTCATCAAACAAATGGAAGCTTTGAAGAACGCGCCAGCCAATATGAATATGCCTATGCCTATGCCTCTGCCCATGTCCATGTCCATGCCGATGATGGGCGGTATGCCTGGGATGTCGAATATGCCAAACATGGCCAATGGTGGTGGTGGTATGCATGGCAACATGGGCTTCCCAGCGCCGCCTTTCCAGTCCAACATGGGATTCAACCATGGACCGATGATGAACGGACAGATGATGGGTATGTCTATGCAGATGCAGCCGATGCAGATGCAGAACGCGATGATGAACGGGGGCATGAACGGGGGCATGGGAAATTTTGGTGGGATGATGAATCAGGCGGGTCAAGATCAGGGCCAGGCGCAGTGGAATGGCGGGGGACAGAATGGGGGATTCCATGGTGGTTATGGAAATGGGGGGATGAATGGGATGAGCAATGGGATGCATGGGTATGGGCAGGGTGTACAGGGTGATTACAACGATGCGTATGATCGACAACCTGTGAATCCCAGGCATAGAAATAGAAAGAGTAGGGCGCCAGACTTCCGGTATCTCTAAAAGTGGGCAAATCCGTGTATGGGAGGATGGCGGGCGTGATTTTGAGGTTGAGCATGGTTGTCCATGGCTGCGGTTTACAGCCATGGGGCGTTTGGGTGGGGACGACGATTGCTTCTATTAGCGATGATGGTGAACTATATATGCAAACATACATGTTGAAACTCTTGTTCTAATGCTCTCATCTAACCTATCCTACCTATCCATCCTATGTATCCTACCCTTTCCTTTCCATGATGATTGAATGCTTGCTCACGTAGTTTTTCAAGTGTGAATGGATCATGGAACTACTGATGGCACCATACCCGCCACAGTCTCTCTCGGCCTCCTTCTTCATTCTTGAGCAGGCCCCATGATCGGCGGGAAGGAAAAGGAGATAACGAGGCCGTCGAGGGTATAAGAAAGCCAAGAAAGAGGAGGACCATGTCAGGGCTCCAGGACAAAGGCGACGGCAATGCACGGACGGGCTGCCTTGTCACGCTCCCCATGCTCCCCCCCCCCCCCCCCGCCCCCAATAGCCGCCCCACTTAGCCATCGAGATTGGACCAAGTCACCAGCCGGACGCCGCGTGCAGATTGCTCATTGGCCGGCTACTCACGCCTCACCCTAGGGAGGCGTGCAGCTAGGTACAAATGTATGGCATTGTATGGGCATGTACGGTACCTACGTATGGGCGAGGACTTGGAATGACTCCGACTCTCCCTAGACTGGGATGAGGCTGTTGACAGTGGACTTGTGACTGGCAGTATGTTCCTCTCTTTCCGCTTCCTTGTTCCCTCTTCTCCTTCTCCTTCTCCTTCTCCATCTCCATCATCCTCATCTTCTTCTCCTTCTCCTTCCCCTTCTTCTTCTTCTTCTTCTTCCCCTTCTTACTTTCATAAACCTAGTCATTCATACTCTCTTAGCTTGTCTCTAGCTTGTCACCTCTAAAACTCTCTTTGGGGCCCTTTGGAGGGGCCTTCAACTGGCGCTAGTCAACGTTAGTAGTCAACGTTGGTGTGCCGCTTGCTCCCTTTGTGACACGATTCGAGTATCATCATCGACATCATACGAGGTACAAACCATGGCATCGTCGGCCTCGTCCGCATCGACGGCCGCTTCGGCATCCAATGCGATTGCGATTCCTAGACGCAAGAACAAACTGCATCATCACACTTCGCGTCATTCCATGGATTCGACATTGGGTAACCACTTTGGCTACGGTCGTGGCTACGATAGCTACGGAAGTTTGGCGACTAGCTCCACGGCCTCAACGCCGCAGGGTAGTCCGGGGAATGAGAGAAATTGTGGACGAAGGACGAGTTTGATGTGTGAGTGAATGGGCAGAGAGGAGAGATTGGTGTAAAGGCGCTGATTGAATGGCTGATTGCAGCTGCGACCTTCTCCAAGGCAGAGCACACAGTGATCAATGTCGGGGATTCAGAGAGTCCGCGCCTGGTAGGTTGGGCACGTCTCTATTGAGAGTACAAGTGCATAAGCTCCCCGTGGCTAGGCTAACAGATGGACAGATCACCTGTGTCAAGGCTTCCCAGGGCTTCGACTGGAATCAAGGTATTACAGATCCCAGCCCATCACGTTTCTGTCGTGGCTCCCTAGAATCTAGAGCACCGCTGACTTATGACTCATCGGCACAGAAATCTTCCTACCTAGTTATGCAGAGTACCACTTTGACGATCTCGAGACACGAAAGGATCCGGTAGAGGACATCATACTCACGGATGAGGAGGCAGAGAAGATGTTCCCGTCGTAACGCAGACTCTCTTTGCAGAGAGCAACGAGACACGGAAGATCTTTGGAAGCTGCATAGGAATAGACAAGGTATTGTGGGCCGAAGAATCTGGGGTAATGTAAGAGGGGATGTTGTGCTTTGACACGTGTGGATTACAAGCTGTGTGGTCTTGAATTGGTACTGCGAACCTGTCCTTGGAGTTGGAAGCGGATTGTACTGTACAGGCACTGGCGCCCATAGCGGCGCATGGAGCTCTCTGTAGTAACGGTGTTTGGGCTACTTGTGGATTTGAATTTATATGCATGTTTCACTTGAAGACAACGGACAGCCTCAATGTGATACGATGCATGGTAGCAGCACCCCCCACCTTGCCTCGGCCGCAACGGTTGCTCTTATCGATAAGGCCCGTGTGCACGGACTCGCGCGCGCGATGCATGTTGTCCCAGGGAGCACAACAACACCACAACAACGTCGATCAAGCGCAACACAACCACCACGCCACAACAGCGCTGGCATGTCGCACACTACCGAGCACAGCCACACAAGCCTATAGAATAAACCAGAAAAAAAAACTCCTTCCATCCTGCCCCTCCGCTGATATTGCGCTACAACCCCCCTTGCCCTGGCACGCAATCAACCCTCTCCCACCAAAACACCATCCACCCATCCACCCACATTTCTCGCAATCCAACCAAATCAACCAACCATGGACTCCGAACACCGAAAAGTAGAGCTCCAATCCCCCGCCGACCTCGCCTACCTAACCTCTCGAATCCGGCTCGCCGCCCGCCAAAAACTCGATTTGCACCTGCCGCCCGTAAAAGACGGCAGCAACAGCCCGGACGAACTGCGCACCCAGGTCGAATCCCTCGTCGACGCCTTTGTCGCAAATGTGCTGCAGGGCATGCGCAACAATATCAGTATCAATGGGCTTGATGTAGTCGCACGGGGCCGCAGTGGCGAGGACGAGGGAGAGGAGCGGGGGGAGGCCATGGAGGGCGTCGTGGGTGCGGACTTTGCTGGTGCTGATGCTGGCAATGCCATAAGTGAAGCGGAGAAGGAGGAGTATGAACCGTTCGATGAGAAGTTGAGGGCGAGGCTTGCGGCGCAGGTCGCGAGGCGGGATGCCTTGGTGGCCAAGATTAGTGCGCATCGGAGGACGACGCCCAAGGCGGCGGCGGCGGCGTGGCAGGCGCGGTTTGAGGCCGAGGCCGAGGGCTTGACGAGGGAGATGGCGGGCTGGGAGAAGATGGCGGGTATGGTCGGGGAGCAGGATGTTGCGCGTGTGGAGCCGTTGTCGAGGGCAGACGAGGTGCAGAGGAATTGGGAGCGGGCGGTTGAAGGGTTGGCCAGGTTGAACAAGGGATTGCCGGAGACGAGGGCGAGGTTGGAGAGGTGTGGGCATGTGGTTGGATATTTGGGCGAGGAGAAGAAGTGAGCTTTTTAGTGAGTGGCTGTGTTGGTTGAACTCGTTGCTTAGGGTTAAAGGCGTATATATACCATGGCGTTCTGGGAGGAGTCTGGGGAAGAAATACCCATACTATACTGGCTGGCTTGGCTAGGCCCTTGGTTGGGATGCATGCAGCCATTGTTTTTGTTCAAGAAACTACTACGTCTACACTAAGCATGCTCAAACTCCAGGGGTATCGCTGACCAAACGCCGTGAACTCGACTCTAATGCTTCGCACATGTTACAAATTGTCTTCGCTGCCGCTCCTACTGATTTCACGAACGACAAATGCGTCCGCATCTACGGGGAGCTTGTTCAAATCAACCTTGCTCGCTTCCGCCCACGCCCTGACCTTTGCCTTGTTGATAACCACTTCTGCACCACCTCGCTTCTTCTGCTCCAGCACATGCATAGCCTGCAATGTGGCTATAATATCCTCGGGCATAATATACGTCTTCTCCCGAAGATCTTGCACCGTCAACGTGCGTTTCGAAGGGCAAGAGAGAATTGTGCGCGCGAGCGTTTGCGACCAATAATGCATGTATGCAATTCTACCGAGATCCGATAACGCTGTGAGCTGTTAGCCAACCGAGTCAACGGTCTCGATGAAGCGATGAGAACAAAAAAACAACCTACGTTTCTCAGGCCCGCCTAAGCGTCCCTCCCGCCGGCTCATCTCATAACTCGCACCCATCAAAATCTGGCCCAGCCCCTGCTTCTGCCACGGCGGAAAGACCAGTATACATGCCAAATTATTGTTATCCCAGCTCATTTTCTCCTTGCTGAAGAAGCCCACCACTTGTCCTGTGCTGGTATGTATACCCCCAGCTGCCTTTTCCTCGTCCTTCACATCTGTATTTGGTACACTTGGCTTGGGTTCATGCGCAACCAGCAAATAGTACAAAAAAGTCGTGACGTCGTAGAAGACCGACTTTGTATCGAGAAAGAGTTTCGCAAACAGCGACAGGTTTTGCGCGTATAACTTGTGTTTCTCACCGTCGATTTCGTAGATGGAGTAGTTATCTTTTCTGTAGACACGTGTGCCAAGGGGTGGGCTCGTATGGAGGGGGCAGACTTTCTGTTCGCATTTCCCCTATCTATCAGCGTTCAACTCTCTATCTATTCTCTCTCTCTCTGTCTCTCTGCACATGCCTCCGTCGCCATGGACAAAAGCTGCAAGGTGCTTACCAAATGCCCCAGGAATCCAGCTAATTCCTTGGTATACCTAAAACACCAGTGGCACACGTACAACCGCTCCACGCGTCGGCCTACCAGCTCCTCGGGGTAAAAGGACGGATACCATGGGGTGATGAGCAGAGAGCCGAAGACGACCTCGAGAACATTTGGGCCAATGGGGGGTTTCTGCGAGGGTTTGGGCGTCGAGGTTGCGGAGGATGCAGATGTGCCATTAGCAGCGGCAACATCGGGGGCCATTGGGGGTTGTGGCAGACCTGGTGGGGGGGAGATGGGAGGGGTGGGGGACGTGACGTGTTGAGGTTGGATGCGTGCATGTATGCTAGCGTGGCGCGCAGGCACGTGCAGTGGTTGTGAGGGAGTCAGGTTGTAGACGTCCAGGTTTCAGACTTGTCTTGTAATCACTGCGTGATACTTTATCTGGAAGTCGTATCTGATGAGGCTATTTCTTTCGTAGTAAAACGAGTTTGCTGGAAGGACGAGATACCTACAACCGTTTCTCGTTCTCCCCTGAAGTAGCTGAGTATCATTCAATCTGCGACCAATTCCACGCTACAGGCTCTCCCAATCTTCTCTCCCACTTCCATCTCCTCTTCACCTCTTTGTTGGTGTACTGGGCGGAGTCAGGATCCCTCCAACCCCTAGCAACTCGCACTGATGTTCGTGCAACGCCCTTACTACCTCCTTGTTCGCAGCGTATTCCTTCCAAGCTTCCTCATCCGCCATGATCGCAGGAAGCCTCGAGTGTAGTTGCATAACGATGGACTTGCGTAGTCCGCAGTCCATTTCTGGAAACTCTGACTGGTAGACATTGGATGCCAGGTCTACAATGCTCAGGGGGTCGTAGATGAATGGGATACGATCGATGATCGTTTCTGCCACTTTATGTTTGATGGGCTGCATGGCGTACTATTGACTATCAATTAGCTGCCGAGATCGGGCTGATGGATCAAAAATTAATCAAAGGAAAGAGCTTACCTTATCTGCGGCAATGAAGAGGGCTAGAATGTCGCTCATCACGAGTTCCTTCTCCAGTGCGCGGAGCAGAGCGAAGTTGGTGAAGATCGAGCCCGTGGTCGAGTTGTAGACTCCGTAGAGTTCTTGAAGAAGGGTTGATATCAGTTTCGCATCCTCGGGTAGGGTAATGGAACGCTGCTCGCTTTCCTTTGCTGTGTCAGCATGGGCATGGAACGATCAAAGGCCAAGTGTTTGACGTACACTGAAGCGGCCATCACAAACAGCATTGAAGTACTCAGATCTACTACAGAGGCTTGAGTCGTATTAGTGGTCTGTACCGTCGGTCATGCAATCTGACTTACAGCACACGATGGACTGGATAGAGTATTCCGCCTGCAATGACGGTGAAGTCTGAGCACTTGCCCGCCTTGTAGATCCTATGAATATCAGTATAATGCGGTTGATATGGGGATCTCCAACATACTTAGCCCACTCAGAAGCATTTGCATCCGAAATTGCAGTCCAGGGCGCAGAATCTTCCAGCTTCAAGCCCTGACACTCTTTTTCCATGGTGAAATCCGCACGTGCCAGTGCCGCATTGCTACAGCATTGTCAACTCTTGCACCACATATGTTCTGGTGTAAACTTACGATGTGGCCTCATATATCTCAAATCGCTGGTTTCCAACCTTCGTGACCAACCGCCCAAGCAACTGCGTGAAATCTGCCGCACCATTCGCCGTCTCGAACACCAGATCCAGTTGGTAGTGAGCCAGCAATAGACATATCTTCTTACAAGAAGTACTTGTTCGCAAGCAAGCTGCCAGGATTTTCGTTGCAGCAAAGTATACTGGCTCATCGGTCTCTGGCCATTGAGCCATCACCATTGTGCCGGGCTCGAGGGTGTAAACCAACCCGAACTCATTGTTGGCACGGTCGAGAACTAGATCGGCACAGCTAGGTGACTTGAAACAGTTTGTGACTGCGAACGATGCAAGTGCCCACATTGTAACGGGTTCATGATCAGCCATTGAGGGCTGAGCGCGAGGCTTCATAATCGCAAATGAAGTAAGATAGGCGGTTGATCCTTACAATGTAGGGAGAAGAAGCTTACAAAAGAGGTGGAAGAAGGGTTCCGGCAAGCTGCGAGGTAGTGAGAGGCTTGACATGTTGGTGTGAACGGTGAGTGTGACACGAGTGTACCATTCGATGGGCGGTGACCAGAGGCGTTAGCGGTGAACAGCATCGAGCAGCAAGCAGGCAGAGTTTTCTAAGATATTTCTATCAGAGCGATAAGGTATATCAAGTCTAATGGAAGATTTAAGAAAAATGATAATACATTGCGTTTACGTAGGCAGCTCGTCCGCATTGTGAAACATCCATTATGTTTGCATTTTAGCATCCCCCAGACCCCAATGTTTTCACCACGAATTCATACATGCTCCAATTTATCACCGGGATGGAGCAATCTGTTTTACATAGTCCTAGAACCACATTGAGCCATACTAGTGCATGAACTCCGAAAATCATGGCGTAATATTCACCAAGTGGTTGGAATCTGACTGTATTCTTTCTTGCCAATCTTAAGATCGTCGAAGACTGAGTCGTCACCTACGATATGGTTAGTACATGTCATCGATAGTTGTGGAAAATGTACTTACCATGTAGGTGTTGGACGCGGAGCTCATCCTCGTGCTCCAACTTCTCCAGCTCTTCCTGTGGTGTCTCTTTATCATCCTTTTGGTCCTTCTTAGTGGGCTCGACGGCGCTGTCAACCTCTTCGCCAATAAGTAATATCTGACAGTATTCATAGTCCAGATACTTTGGCTTGACCTCTGACCAAGCCAGGTTACGAAACTCTGAAATGATCCTATCACAAATCAATATTTTATATCTTTGTAATCACTTGTTGAACTCACTCTTTCGGAAAGTCGGGTTTCTGAGGTAGCTGAGCTCTTGCATTGCCAGGGCGCTCAGGATTCTTCGCACTAATGACAAAGCTACCCGAATCCTTAATACCAAGGTCCTTTTGTACTTCACCGAGCTCGGACGGAATAGTTGTAGAGTAGACAAGATGTGACGTTGCATTCTCAGTTCGTGTGATTGCATACACGCCCTCCGCGATAGGATTTACTGGCTCATCTCGCCGAGAGCCCTTGGTCTTGGTATCGTACTCGGTTGCAGGAAAAAAATTCTCTTTCAACTCCTTGATGGTTGTATTTGCCTTCTCCACAAAAGCCATGAACTTGTCGTTGTGGGACTTGGGAAATACTTTCTTAGGCAGCGCAAGCAGGCGGATGTTGTCCTGATCGGCCAGAGCACCATCGCCCAGCTTGGCCCCAGTGGGAATAGGCCGCAGCACGAAGAAAGTACGCTGTAGGTCACCAACGCTGTCGGAATCTGAGATGCCTACGCGATTACGGGTGAAGAAGTATATGATGCCCTTCTCGAGTATGTTTGACGGGACTTCCGCCGCGCGCTGGGTCGACACATCGATAGGTCCATCTCCATTTGCCTCGGTTGCTGCTCCCGTGTTCTCATTCGGGTCTTGGTCAGCGTCAGCATTGGCCGTCGTCGGCGCCTTTGCAGTATCATCTGAAGCTTTGCTATTGACCTCCTTTTCGGTATCGACATTGATCCCTCCGTCTTCATCATGGTCGGAACTGGGTTGTTTCATTTTGGTATCTTGTTGTTCGCTGCCGAGAGTCTCTTCTATCGTCGTCTGTTTCTTAGCTGTCTTATGGTTGCGATTTGGGGACAGCTCAATCTCTGGCTTCCTCTTCGTGCCAGCTATCGACTCATCGGACTTTGCAGGACTTGGGCTCTTGCCATCTCCGCGCTGAGGTGTGGGTGGTCCAACCATTGTTACACTTGTGGGTCAACGTAGATGGCACGGTGAAAGTAGATGAACTTGCGAAGAAAATAGCCTGGCACTTCTTGGACGAATGATTGATGAAGAACTGAGGATACTTCTGATAAAAGACGGCGCGGACGCGAGGTTTGTACTCGTCGCGTCGCGTCTACTGTGATGGTGACGTCAGAAGCTATTTGGTCCAGACCGTAGTAGCATCCGTCGTCGTAACACATGTGCACGTGCATGACACAATCACCAGCCCCTTTGAGACGCGACGTAATGGTTTGAGCCTTCGATGCTCTCATGATGTGACGTCGACAAACGTTAACAGACATTGATGAGCTCAAATACTCTACCTGCTCGGTTCGTCATCCTATCTTCGGCGGACACCCACTGACTACGGTGAGTATGTGAAACTTGTGCACTATGGATTGCGTCCCTGGTCGTCCACCATACCTTGAGATCTACCAGCAGAAGGGAGGGAGACTCTCTTAGATGTTGGCTTCCTAGGGCTGAGAGAACCAGCGACGACGGGCACTCTCTTTGGGCATAAACAGGCCATCAGAAGGTATGGCAGAATGTTCACTCGCGTCGTATTATCCATGCTTTTCTGTGAAGGCTTTGATGCCCTCAGCGATTCCCTCGGGGCTGGGTCTCTCTGCGCAAACATCCGGGCTAAAGCCAAACTCCTCGATGAGGTAGTCGCGAGTGGTGGGCCCAATCGTGGCGATGAAGACCTTCCTCTCATCGTTCATCGGTTTGGCCCTTCTGCTACCTGGTTCAAGAAGATCCAAGCTCTCCAGCATCGCCTGACAGCCGGTTGGGGAAAACACAACTATCCACTGGCGTTGGGCCCCACGTTCCACGTTATTCCTCCAGATGGAAGAGAAATCAGCTTTGAACGACTGCATCTCTCCGGTTTCGTATATAACCAACTCGTCTATTCTTGAACGCATATTGGCTTCCAGCTCTTCGGACTGGAGTGTTTTTGGTATAATGTCCCTTCTTTTATCACCGACCAGGAAGAGTATAGGCGGCTTCGGAGTGCCCGCATACATGCTGTTGTAGTGGTCCAACACAAAAGCAGCTAAGGCTTCACCATTACCAGTTTCCTCGCCCAGGATGGGGCATGGAAGCTTCAGGGATTTCAGGCCACGGGCTGTAGCTGGACCTACGACATATAATGGCAAACTGGGGGGAAGGAGATGCTCAATTGCCAGCGATCCCTCGGCCCGGATGCTCTCGACAATTTGGGCGAATGCTTCGACAGCGCGCTGGGAGGTGAAGATCACGGCGCCATATGTGGCCAGTCCCTGTTGTGAGGCTGGGACAAAGCCGCGGCTGGTGATGTGGTGTTGCACCAAGTCCAGCGCATCTCGCCTGAACCGATGTTCGAGCACGGGCACGAACACGGGGGCATAGCGACCGTTGTCGACGGTGCTGAAGAGCTCCTCGTACGTGTCTGTGGGTGCAGACTTGGTCTTGAGCAGTAGGAGAGGCGTCCTTCCCCGCGAACGTTCGGCCATGGTGTTGGTGCTTTTGTATTGCGTGGGATGCGAATGAGCCGAAAGACGTTGTTCGGCGGGGGTGGGGAGTCCCAGCCGAGCGGGACAAAAGTGAAAGGCCAGAAGGTTGTGTACCGACTCTCATTCGTTAGTGGCGCTTGCCCGCAACTAAAGGACCGTGGGTTCGCAACGCTCGCTCGAAATCAACATATTACTTGTCCTTCCACCGCAACGCCCGCCTCGAGAAACAAACTTTCAACGCCCCCCCCCCCCCACACTCGGCCGGCCACCTCTACCCTGCGCCATCTCCTCGACCGTCAATAGCCCGTCAGTCATCCCAATTGAAAACCAAAGTGACTACTGCACCCATGGCCGACGTCGCAGCCTCCCCCGCCACACAGACGGCTGCCGCCGACAAAGCTGCTGCATCGCAGACCAAGCAGCAGATTGTCAAGCCCGAAAAGCCCGACGAGGACAAATACAAGGAGGAACTTGCCAAGGCAGAGAAGGAGCATGCTGCTGCTCAAGAACAGCTGGTAAGACGATATACATGGATATGCCCTGGCCTGCACCTAACCGCCCACACTGTGCACATATGCCCTCTTTCCCCCCCCCCACACGTGGTGCATCGCTTTCTCGGATACTTGCATCTCGCACCTACATTGTGCGCCCCTCGCTCGCTAAGGGAATTGCTGACGCATGACAGAACGCCTGCAGGGCTAAACTCGACCTCGCCAAGCCCAACAACAAGGACTCGCCCAACGCAAAGCGCCAGCAGGAGCTCAAGACCGAGCTCAACGCCATCCGCCAGGCACAGCAGGGCAACAAGTCTGGTCGCAATGCCGTCTTCGAGAAGATCAAGAAGCTCGACGAACAGCTCAAGTCACGGGTGGCCGAGCTCAAGACAGCAAAGGCCAAAGTCAACTTCAAGTCGGCTGAAGAGGTCGATCAGGAAATCGCCCGTCTGCAGAAGCAGGTTGACGGCGGCATGATGAAGCTCGTGGACGAGAAGAAGGCCCTCTCTGACATCACCAACCTCAACAAGGCTCGCAAGAACTTTTCCCAATTCGACTCGCAACAAAAGGCCATCGATGACATCAAGGCCCAGATCGCCGAGCAGAAGAAGCTGTTGGACGACCCCGAGAACAAGGCTCTCAGCGAAAAGTACACCAAGCTTCAGACCGAGCTGGACGCACTAAAGGCTGAGCAGGACGAGGCCTTCAAGGGCCTGAAGGCTCTCCGTGAGCAGACCGACAAGGCACGTGCTGAGCAGCAAGAAAAGTATCTTGCGCGCAAAGAGCTCAAGGACAACTACTACCAGCAAAAGCGTGCCTTCCAGAACTACGAGTTCGAGGCTCGCAAGATCCGCAACGAGAAGCGTCGTCAAGAGCAAATCGCATACACGGCCAACAAGCGCAAGGAGATTGCCAACAAGCGTCTCGAAGAGGCCAGCGCACCCGCTTACCAGGACGAAATCATCGCGACTGAGGGTCTCATCCGACACTTCGACCCTTCGGCCCTACCAGCAAAGGAGACCACGACAGCCAGCAAATTCGCTGCGTCTGCTCAGCGTACTGTCGACGACGCCGGTCTCAAGGGCACCCGTGTCTCGAAGAAGGATGCTGAAGAAGAGGTCTACTTCGCTGGTACGGGTGGCAAGAAGGGAAAAAAGGGCAAAAAGGGCGGTGCGGCTCCTTCCAAATTCAACCTCAACATGGGCATCATCGAGGAATTGACAAAGGTGGGCGTTCCTGCTCCCTCGAGTCAAGAGGATATCCCAGCCACTGTAGAACAACTCAAGGCCAAACTTGCGCACTGGAAAGAGGACCAAGACCGCAAGACCAAGGAGGTAAGTTACTAGACCTGGCCAGAATCGAACAGGAACTGATCATGTTGCAGAACATCGCAAAGGCACAAAAGGAAATTGAGCGTCTCGAGGCCGAAGAGGACGAAGCGACCAATGGTACTACTGACACGGCGCGTAAGCCTGCTCAGAAGAACCAGGGTGTCAATGGCTCCGCATCCGCAGAGGCAGAACTTGCCCGAGAGAAGGATGCTGCTGCCGATGCTGCCGACGACCTGAAGAAGGCATCTTTGGAGGACAAGGAAGAGACGTCCGAGGCATAGCATGTCCGGCGCGATCCATGTATGAAGCACTTCAGCGCGTATCATGCTGGGCCATCTACAGGTGATATTTGTATCAGCTCAGGATCAGGTCTGGCTATTCTTCATTCTTAGCTAGGGGTTGGCATCTTCTTGACTTTGTGTTCGGGGATTATCAGCATGGCATCGGCAGGGGCTTGGGCTTGGGCTGCGGTTCTGCATCTTCTTTCTTCGAAAAGCAAAAGTGTTAGGATGATAATGAGTATTTTCTAATCTGCATCGATGTCCTATGAGCTACACAGTAGCCTTTTCTTTTATGTTTCACGTATACATCTTGATGCTTTGCGCCCACGATGGGAGTCAGTCGTCCACTGCTAATCATGCCAAGTACACAAACAGGTCAACAAATGACGCAACCACCGGCTGATACGCAATGGTTGGGCCAGACTGCCCAAAGGTAGTTCTACTTCGGCTATGCTTTAGCCAGAACACTTTCACGCTTGACCCCGCTATGTGGGGTGTTGTGGTTTTGTGGAACGCAATGAGGAGTGCTTTTGACGTCATCACAGGCGACTGCATACAAAGTCTCGCGGCATCCACACCCTCCTGTTTCAGTCGCATTACATCACCGTCTCCTACCATAACACACTTCCTCATACCCAGGTATGTTCTCCATACGTCCTCGCCTCTTGTCTCTACGAACTGCAACAACCACACGCACAACTCCTCATAATTCATTCGTCAAGACGCTGACAGCCCGTCTACAGCTACCGCCGATTACTACACCCCAACGCGTACTCATCAAATCCATCATGTCTTCTGGCTTCAGCAATACGGATACCGGCTCCAAGAATGCCGACCCCTACACACAGAAGAATCTCCAAGAGCCCCCTCTGAAGGAGAAGGTTGAGGACCTCTTCGAGTTTGTAGACAAGACCAAGTTCTGTTTGTTGACTACACAAGTTGCCGACAGTGATCTGTTGGCTTCACGAGCCATGGCTGTAGCAGCAAAAGTTTGTTACACAGAACATTGCTGGTAGCGTTGCAACCACGGACTAACAACCGGACAGGAAGGAAACGGCTTCGATATCCTATTTCACACCAACACCGAGTCAGGCAAAACTGACGACCTCAAGGAGCATGCAGCAGTCAACGTTGGCTTCATCAACAACTCTGGCGAGTGGGCTTCCATTTCTGGCCACGCATCCATCGAGACCAACCGTGACATTGTTCGCAAGCACTACTCTCCCGCATTAAAGGCATGGCTCGGTGATCTCGGTGACGGCAAGCACGACGGTGGCCCAGAGGATCCGCGTATTGGTATCATCCGCGTCAAGGCCAGCACCGCACAGTATGCAGTATCGAAGAAGACTCAGATTGGCGGGTTCGTTGAGTTGGCAAAAGGCATTGCAACTGGCGAGAGCCCGAGTGTGAACAAGCTGAGGCGTATCAGCGAGTCGGAGATTCGACAGTGGAAGTCACAGTAATTAGCGTTGCCCGATGGATACATGGAGGTCAGAAGGTCTGTACCGAAGGGTGAAAACACATGACGATGGGAATCCCAAGTCGATCGGTGAATAACGTAAACAAACATCTTCATTGCCGTGTGGCCCCAACCAACTTTGACCACCCGTGCGCTTGCCACTTGCCATTGAATGATGAACAAACATGACGTCATCTGCCTTTTCAATTCCATGTCTACAAATCCCATCAACAACCGCAAAAGTTATCCTGTACATTACAAGCACGAAATTCGACACTTTCCATCACCATGGACGACCCAGTCGCCGAAATCCCCCACGTCATCCACCTCCTCACCCAATCACCGCCCTCGACCCAGCACAACGCCATAGAAAGATACTTTACGCCGAATGCCTCGTTCACGCATCCCTTTGTACGCACGGGGAGCTGGTCGCACTCGCGCGTCATGATAGCGGGTATATACCGATGGTATAAGATTATGAGTCCACGGATTGAGATTGGGGTGGACAGCGTTGGTATGTTTTTTCTTTCTCCTTGTCCAAGTTTATGATTACAAGTTTGTCACAAGTATTGTTTTTTTTTCCTTTCCACCTTTTCACCATGCATGCATGCATACTACAACTGCTGCAGCAACAACAAGCGACAGGATACGAAGAACTAGGACAATCAAACGAATAACAATGATAATCAAAGTCTAGCGTTCGATAAACCGAATTTAAAACTCTACGTTGAAATCTCCCAGATTTTTAGAATATGGTGGATACCGTTGTATTACGCGCCCGTTCGTCTGGTTACTGTTCTTACACTTGTACAAGCTCCTCCTCTTCTTTCTGCTGCTGCTGCTTCTTCTTCTTCTTCTTCTTCACACACTTCCCCCACCCCCTCCTCATCCCGACCCACAAAATACTACATCACCTCGCAAAACGACCTCTACCAAACAGACCAATTCATCAAGTTCATCGCACCAGGTGTCTGGCTCGCAATTTGGCTGTTTGGGTTTCTGGCGAGCGTGGGGTGTGTGGTCGGGGCTTTGGTTGGTTCGCCGGTGACGTGGGTGGAGGAGCGGTGGGGGTGGGGGGAGGGACGACCTGGGAGGAAAGGAAGGGGGAAGCGGGAGAGTGAGAGTGGGGAGGGGAGAGAGAGAAAAGAAAAGAGGGTAGCGGGGGAAATGAAAATGTAGTGGTTAAAGGGCTTATTCAGGAGTGACTTCAAGAGCGCGAGACTGGAGGAACCATGGGTAAAATGGGATGATATACTCGGGAGACATCTTTTACAGTGTACTTTGTAAAGAGGACGGGTGCCATCACCGTAAATATAATTTCCTGTGATATCATCCATCACTTATTGTACACCTCTTTTCTTTTTCTCACTACAACGGCACCAACAATAACGACAGACCACATTAACAATAACTGAGCCAGGGGGTATAAGCCTCGAAAAGAAAAAGCTATCTCCCAACACCGATCAATGCATCCGTACACAATAAATACACGAAAACGAAACGAGTCCCTCTGCAACATAACTTCTACTGCGCAGTCTTCTGGCTCTTCTGCCCCTTGGACGGTCCACTCTTCACCGCCGTAGTGACAGACTCACTCGTCCTCGCCCTCTTCAAGTGCCTTGTCCGCGACGACACACTACCACTCGTAGGACTCCGGCCAGCCTTGAGAGAGCCTCCCTCCTGGCTGAGCGACGTAGCCTCCTGATTCGGTGCCGGACTGTTGAAGCCGCTGCCACCTCCTGCGGTGGCCGCCGAGCTACCTGCTGGAATGACTTCGGCGAGGCGTTCTGCGAGCGCAGCGTCATACTCGCGTTCCGAGGCGCGGATAGTCGTTGGATCGAGTTGGCGGGCCGTAGCAAGGAGGTCAACACTTCCATCGTCGCTGTCTTCAGAATATTCCGATTCCTCGTCGTCGTCATCGTCATCATCGTCATCGTCATCATCTTCTGCCGAATTGCCTTGATCTATGGGAGAAATGTTGAGGATCTGGAAGGCTGTTGTTGGGCCCTGTTCAGATTCAACGTCTTGCTCATCCGAGGATTCATCGTCAGAGACATCGGACATGTTGCCAGAAGATGTGGAGTCAAAGGGAAGGAAAGAGGCGGGCGGTAGGGCCGAGTTAGGGAGCGACTTTCTCGCTGCGGAAAGGATCTCTTCTTTGATCACACGTTGTGGGCAAGCCATGGGCGAGGAAGGCTCCGATTGTGAAGACTTGGAGCTGGTCAGAGCATCCACGATTTTCTGTGGGTAAAGGCTCGACCTGCGACGGCCTGGATAGTTTGCAGGGGCAACCCGAATCTGTGAGCGTCGTACATGAACGGAGAAGTTATCCTCTGGCTGTACACCACCCAAGCCGGAAGCCTCAAATTCAACATTATCAGGGGTATTGTTTCCACTATCGTGGATCAAAGACTCTGGCGAGAAGCCAAGATCATCGCTACTGGAGCCGGCAGCTGCCGACCCTGAGTCGACCTCCATAGGAGTGGAGTCCAAAGGTCCTCGTGCTTCTGTAATGTCGAGCGCATCCGCTGTCGGTGGGGGGGTGGACGCCGCACCTAGTGGATGACTGGTCATCGCCTTGTAGGCACCGGGGTTGGCAAGCGTTGATCCAAGGCGGTCGCCACTGAGATCGGTACAAAACTTGGCCTTTGTATAGAATATCATGGGGCCATCGTCGCGTCGTGGCTTTGGATGGGAGGAGTAGCTTTGCATCGCCGAACTGCCAAAACCCGACGAGTTTCCTGCTAGCTGTGGGTGCGGCATTGAACCGCTCGTGGACTCGGCGTCAAAGTCCGCTTCGTCATCAGAGTCCTCCTTATGGAAGAAGAGCGGCTTGTACGCAAACTTGCTGTGCTCCTTCTCACGTTGAAGTCGCAATAACCGTCTGGCCCTTTGCTCGGGGTCCATGGCATTTTCGCTGCTTGCTCCACTTGTGCCCGTTTTCACATACTTGGAAGACGTCTGGGCAACACTGTCCTCGTCTGGCGATGCGCCACTGTAATACTCGGATGAACTCCCACCACTATGCACAGTAACATCTTGCCCTCCTTTCCAGCGGATCTTGCGTCCGTCGCGGGATATTTCGAGATGGCTGCTGTATTCGTGGAGTGCATCTTTTACGAAATCGGGAGTGACGTTGAGCGTGTGCAATTGAGCCATGTTGATGAGCAGATTCAAGTAGATCCAACCGTGCCCAAGCGGTGGAGCATCTCCGGTATCCATGTCCGGTGGTGTGAAGCCAAGATGACGAATATAGTCCATGTTCTCTGTGGGCACCTGGGCCCGATGAGGGTCCAAGTCGAGTGGGCGTGTAGGTCGTTGATCTGGGGATGAACTGGAGCCGGCAGAATCTTGCTCACTGATTTGGAAGACTGGAAGAAAGGCCGGTGTGAATTCGGTGGGACCTGCAATATCCGGTTGCTGAGTCACCTTTTCAGGCTTGATGCGAGCCTCACGTTGACCTTCTGGCTTCGATGACTGCCCCTTTGCCTCGAGTTGTTCCCGGTCTGCAGAGGCGGCGGATTGGGCAACTTCTTCTTGCTGCATGGGCTGTGGGTGGTTGCCCGGTACAGACGTCTTACCGGCAAAGATCTGCTCCAGACGCCTCACTACAAGCTTCTTCTTGGACTTGTCTGTCATGGGTACATTGTAGTGGGGAAGGAGGCCAGCGGGGATGTCGTGCAGGTAAGACTGAATATTCTGTTGTTGGCGGTTGTAGGCAGACTTGCTGATCTTGCGCCGGTCTTTCTCTAGGAGATTGGAAGCCGCAGACGAATTCTGGCCCGAGGCAGACAGCGAGGCATAACCAGATTCGGCGAAGCGAGACATGGACGAGGCGGTCTTGTGTGTTTCGAGGTTGGGGACATGCGATTGGGGGTTGGGATAGTCTGATGCGCCCTCGTCCAACTCGGCAGCAAACTTGCGCAGCGTGTCCTCGAGCTCCTTCTTCTTGTGGTCGGGTAGGCCGTGAAATCGGACTTCAAACAGCTTCTCCTCCTGCAGATGGGCATCGTACATGCGCTCGTACTTTTTCAGCTTCTGCTTGAGCCGCTTGTTCACCACCGTCAGGTCGTCGATGACGCTGCGAAAATCCTCAGTGCTACTGCCATCGGTGCCATGCTGGGCAAGCATGCGCCGGTAGGGGATAGCCGATGACGGGCCCGGGGCGTTCGAGGCCTCTGGCGGGGTATCTGACGACGAGCCGTTGCGCAGGAAGAAGGGAGGGTCATCTGCGACTGCGGCATTAGTCTTCGCTACGGAGCGGTGGGAGGCGGGCGGGGACTACGTACTCGCATTGAACGAGGCCGTGCGCTGGATGGCATGCTTGTTGGTGCTCTCGAACCATGCTCCCGCGTCACTGCTCTCGCCCGAGCTGACGGTGTTCTGATTGAGCTTCGGCGACACACTCGAGGGCGGGTTTGCCCTGTCACTCGCGGCGGTGGGCGAGCTCGCAGCCGTGGGCTTGGGCTGGACGGCGGCAGCCTTGGACTGGCTGTCTGGTGCGGGGGGGCTGTGTCGAAGGGAGACGGACTGATGGGCGGGACGGCGGCGGGGATGCTGTTTGGCGGCGGCGGCGGCGGACGTGGGCACAGTGCCCGGGGTATCGTTCATGGCGATGTGGGCTGCGTGGGTGCC